GAAGATTTTTTTTTTTATTATAGATTTTAAATTTAAATTATTGTGTTAAAATGAGAGTGGAAAATCCTTGAAACCTGTAGTTGTTCTCTGACAACTTTATGTTTGAGTCGTGGAGAAAGCTAAAATCGAACTGTTTGGAAACCAAGGTTGTCTCATCATTGTAAAAGGCTAATATTAGCGAAGTTAGAGGTGGGGTAATTTATCTAGGCTATCTCATCTAGCAGTTTAACGAGGAATTATTGTTGTTACAGCTATAAATAAATGTTCGCTAGCAATGAGATTACGATGTGCTGGACAAAGGGTCATTCGGGAAATAAGCTTCATGACATCAACCTCCGGGATCGCCGGAACCTTTCATTGCCCCAACAATAAGGTCTTTAATAGAGCTTCCAAAAGAGGTAACACGTAAGAAGTTTCTAAATTACCGGGACAGGACACCAGGATGTCGCCAAGCTAAGGAGGCTCTGATGTACACTGATCCTAAACGAACAGATTTATTAATCACTGGACACTGGCATCTACAGAAGCACTTACTAAACATGGGAATAAGTGACACCGACATCTGCAGAGGATGCGGTGAGGAGGAGGAATCAGCGGAACACATTTTATGCGACTGCGTGGCCCTCCAAACATTAAGGTTATCCATTTTTGGAGATATCCAGATTAGCATGAGTGGAATTAGGGCAGCATAACCAAGACAAATTCTAGCCTTTGCCTCCAAGGTAATATGGCTGGAAGGACCCTAATACTGACCAAATGAAGGAAGTAAGTACAAGGGATCTGCTGAGGTCAAAGTGCTGCGGGCGGTTCAGCCTGCCTTCCTGTGAATCCAGAAATAAATTTAATGTTCAAGGGTTGCGCACCATGTCTAAGACTAGATACGATTTTGGCAGCCAGCAATAGCTAAGCTATGTTTTCTAATTTGCAAAACCGTGCGAATGTGGCGAAAAGCAGTGGTCACCTAATACGCATCTAGCCTAAGTTAGATCTGGGAATCTACACGAAGGACGAAAAACCTTTATTCGTTGGAGGGTGCTAAAATTAAGGCAGGTTTCCTTTTCAATAGGACGATGTTGAGCCGACTCGAACTGAATAACCATTCTCCACCTGCATCCAAGTGGACTACCTGTACTAGCTATGAGTCGGAAACATGGACCTTAACATAGAACCAGAATGGACATAAAATTTACCACAAGAATTATCTTTGATCGCCGTGGACCTGTGGGTAGAAGATCGATTGGGAGGTCGAAGAGACAATTTGTGGACGATGTGGAGGACGACCTAAGAATGCTGTGAAGGTCAGGCGCGCGAAAATGGCGGGAAATGATTTGTAATTGCGAGACATGGTTCATAATGAGCTATAAAGATGTAGATCAGATAGTCTTGCAAAAAAAATAGGTTCCAACCTTCGTTATCATAAATAGAGCACAGATACTTGATATTATCGTCCTACACTTAATGGCTTTCAACTAGTTAGTGTAAAATCGTTTCAACTGAAGACCCTTGAAAAGGTTTTCAATGCCATTTCATTTTCAACCTGAAAAGTTGATATAACTAAGTAATCTAAGTTTTTAGACCTAAACCTAACACTCGACCGAGTTAAGCCGTGTATCATTTAATAAAGTGATTGATGTTTCGGATGCCATGTTCCAACGTTCTTCAGAAACAACTTTGAAAGTTTCTAGGTCTAATATTAGTTCAATTAACACTAGTCGTGAAAACTTTTGTTCTTGTAATATCAGCCTGGGAAGGATAAACAGACGAATCAAGGATTTTGACAACTTACGGATTAGATAACGCATTAAGTAGCTGGGTCTTCTTACGAAGACGCAACGAGAAGAAAATAACGCCATACCGACTGTGCTGCGACCCGTAGGATTTTGATTGGGACAAAACAAGCACTAATACGAAAAAGAATTCACAAGACCTTAAAAAATCTGCAGCAAATAAGTGAGATTTTTGTTCCCACTCTAGCGAGTGCTCGTTATAACCGGTCTTCACTGTATATCATTTTTAAGTAGGTATGGTTAATGAAATGAATAAGTTCGTGTTAAAAAATGCGAAAGATTTATTTGAAAACAAACTAAATAATATAAACAATAATATATACCTATGAATTAAATACTTATTTCTTATTTTTTAATAAACTTAGCAAACAAAATTTCAACGTTTAATGCCGAGTTTATGCTGTCGTTTTTTTTTTTTTCATGATTGTTTTTTTGTTGTTTCTTCTTAATTAGTTGGTGATGCTTTTTTTTCTTCTTCGTCTTCTTCTTCGGTGTTTTCTTCGTGGTGGTCTTGTTGTTCTTTTTTTACCCCATCATTGTTGTTCTTATCAAGATTTTCTTGTTCGTCTTCTTCTTTATTAACTGTATTTCAAACTTGGACTACCATTCGAATGGAATCCAACAAAGACAACACAAATTATTCTTCATCATCCAACAATCAATTTTATTAATAGATTTTTATTTTATGGTAGTGAACAGCAAAGTTGTCCACTAAAAGTAAGACTTCTACGTTTTCGCCCCAGATCTGTATCCCACCCATGTGATATCTTGATATCCTCGAACGTTATATCAAATAGACATTATACTGTAAGGACCGAAAAAAACATACGTTATATCCGATTGGACGTAATAAACGGATTCTACTGTACATATTAACATGTATCTGATGACGAAGTGCTTGTGGTTTAAAAATAATCAAGTTTTGTACACCCTTTAGAAGTTTGCTGTTTTTTTATAATTAGCTCCCTAAAATTACGAAAATGTGCATAAAACGGTTGCATTTCTTTATCTGACGAATCGTCTATAAACGTTATTATATCATCGAGATGCGATCTGATGGTTGATAATTTCACCTTTGGCGATGTTTCATCTTTCTCGCTATCCTCGCTTTCAAGTTCATTATCGACTATCTTTTCTTCATTTGCCGTTTCATTTTCGGTCATAATTCGATACCCAGGATCACCTTCGTCTATTTCTAACCAATGTAACATATCTTCCTCGGCAACTTCTTCTCCAATATTGTTTAGTACAGCAGTGCAAAAATCGGGAGCTTCTAATCCTTCTAAATCAATATCTGTATCTCGATCATCAAATAAATTCGCCCACCCATTTTTGATTGTTTCGACTTTGACTTCTTTCCATGCAGCCGCGAAATTAAAAATGGTCGATTTTAAGTTGTAATTTTTTAAATTTTCCAGCGTGCGTTGTACTCTTGTGTTTTCTTCGTCCTCCAATACCATTACTTCGTCTAAAAATTTTCTTCGATAAATTCGTTTAGTGGCTAAAATTATTCCCTGGTCCATAGGCTGTATCATTGACGTTGTGTTTTTGGGAAAAAACATGCAAATAAATTTGTCATCTTCTGAACGTAAAACGTTTTCAGATGGGTGGGCGAGAGAGTTGTGTAAAAGCAATAAACATTTCACATCATCCGGTGGTATTTCAAGTTTCTTCTCTTGAAATTTCCTAACTGCAGGTATAAATTCGTTAAAAAACCAATTTTTGAAAATTGTATTTGCTGTAAACCCTGCTTTTCGAGAATTATAATATGAAACGGGAAGACTGTTCATTATGTCTTTTATAGCTCGGGGTTTACGAGATTTTCCAACGATGACAGGGGTTAGTTTATGTGATCCATCGGCGTTAGCGCAAAGCAATGCTGATATTCTTTCTTTGCCAATTTTTTTTCCGGTTGTCAATGTTTCATACCTGAAAGCTTGCGTGTTTTCAGGCAAAGCACGCCATAATAAGCCAGTTTCGTCGGCGTTATAAATCTGGGATTGCAGTAACATTTCGTTATTAATTTGCTGTATTAATTTTTGCCGAAATGGTTCAATTTCATCTTTTGGTGCATTTAAAACATCGCTTTCGTCCTCGCCTTCGTAGTTTCGCTTATTAATAATTCCATGCCTTTTGCGAAAACGCCAAAGCCATCCTTCACTTGCTTTGAATGAAATTATGTTCATAAGGTTTGCTAATTTAATTGCGGCAGATTTAAGTTCGACTGCTCGAACGGCAGCCCCACAAGAACGTTGTTGTACGTACCACTTAAATAAAGCTTCTTCAAGTGAAGTTTCGCGTGCCAATTTCATTCGTTTTCTGGGTTTCGTTTTCGTATCTACATCGCACATTAAACTAAATTTGTTTAGTTTGTCTTTATTTTTTTTAATGTCCGAAACTGTTTGCTTTCGTATACCGAATTGCTCACATATTCGAGAAACAGACACTCCAGACTCCAACTGATTTATCACTTGAAGTTTTTGATTTATTGTTAAACTAACTCGTTTCCGTTTGTCCATATTGCAACCGTACGCGTACTTATTATAACTTTTTAACGATTTTTAATTTGCACAATGAATTATTTTAAAGCACACAAAACTCTAAATCTATACCGGTGCGTTCAGTCTACGTGGCTTTATGTTTATACATCTTAGACCTCGAATAAAGCAACTTGAGGGGAATAACCCGAGTTGGATTCTCTCTACGAGCGCTTAAATTTATACTGACTTAACTTACTATGACTTAAAAATGTTTTGTCCGTTATATCCGCAGTCCGATCTAATGAGGTATAACGGACCTCGAGATCAAGGTTTTACCACAGCTTTTACTGTATACCGAAAGCGCTCTCTTTTATTTAAAAGCTTAACTATGAGGATTTAGTGAAAACGGTTAGAAATCTGGGGAGTTTTATATTTTGATTTTTGATAGCGCCGCCAACATAAGAAATAAAAACTTCTCTTTCTATTGACCAGATTTTGCGTATGTCAAAGGTAACTTTAATTCTTATTTATTTTAGTCATCTTAACACAAAATCAAATTATTATAACAATAATCCAGTTTGAAAATACTTAAAATCAGCTTCATTAATACATTTAATCATTATTTAGTTTTATTTATCTCTAAACGCTAACTTAACCTCACTTTTTGTTATTTACAGTCTTAAATCTAAGAAAACATGGCAAAGTCGAAGAATCATACAAATCATAACCAAAGTAAGTTTATTTTACATTTAACGTTTTATTTATTGATTGATTTGTTTATTTTTTAGACAGAAAAGCCCATCGTAATGGTATTAAAAAACCAAAACGTTTCAGGCATGAATCAACTTTAGGGGTAAGCTTTACAAAATTTTTGTATCTGTTATATATTATTAACTTGTGCTTGTATTTATTAATTAGATGGATGCTAAATTCTTGAAGAACCAAAGGTTCTCAAAAAGGCATAACTTGAATCCAGCCCAACAAATAAAACGTGCCAAACAACACAAAGCTGAACGTGAAGCCAAGAAAAGTGCAAAATAAATGATTTGTGTTTTTAATGAAAATAAAACTTAAGTTTCTAAGTTAAAACTAGTTTTACTATAACAATTTTTATCTTGACTTAGTTTACTTGTTTTTTTATATCATGATTTTCTACAACATTATCAAATTTTAAAGATCTGTAAAATGGAAAATCATTTTGGGTACATACTTATTTGCTAATGTCATTACATTGTTTAATTTTTGAAATTTTAATGGTAGTGGTGTAAAATATGCAGCTGCTGAAGGTTCTAGAGATGTGTCCATTAGTTTTGGAAATCCTTAAGAATCAGAACTAGCAGATATTGACCATTGGATTCCTTTTAGTTCATTGCTGTAAGATAGTACTCTGAGTTTTGATAAAGCAAATTTCTCCTTTTCCTTATTAGACGTCGTTTTCTTAAAATACAGTTTATAATGATCAATGAAATTCAATATCATAGATTCTTTTAATTACTTCGACGTTTTTTGAAGATTTCTTGTAATAACAGCGATATTCATACACGTTCTATTTTTCTCACGTATTTTTCGACGACTTTAAAAGATCGGTCACAAGGCAAAAAACCAGGCTCAAGAAAACGATGAACTATTTTTTTGATTCTGCCAGATTGGTCCAATGAATATAAATAACAAACAAGAGAAAAGTTTTTATTTTGCGCAGCACAGTTATCAGAAAATAAATACAATGTTTCAACATTTTTATCCAGTGTTTGTAATAAAGTGATGCAAAAAATTTATTGGTTCATTTGGTGTCTTTTTACCTTGAGTTTCATGATACCTATAAAAATATGGCTTTCCGAATTTGCCTGAATATACACAGAAATCAATCATCCAGAGTTGTCTTAAGTAGAACGCATCACCAGTAAGGACTCTAGGCAGTGAAACATTCTATTGAAAATCAAACGAAAGTGTAGGATCATTTCTCGCCAAAGTCTGCTTAATTTTTAGATCATCATAAAAAAGTTGGCATTTATTGAGGTGCAACTTCTTTTCTAATCTATCACAAGTTTGATTCGTGTTCTAGGGTGGCCAAAAGAATAGTTTTTGAAGTTTGATTTAAAAAAAATATGTATAAAATAAATCGTAAAACACCCCAGGCTTAATACTCAAGGTGCGTTGTTCGTTTTTTTGTTTAGTTTTCATGTCGCTATATGCTGCATGTTCATATGTCTTCAAGTATAACTCATACAGGAGCTGCCTTGTTGTTGCTATAATGTAAAGGTGGAGGCTGCTCCATTTAACATTGCCCCACCAGGATTCAATTCTGTCGGTGCCTCGTTGTTGCACCAACTGATGGCCACTATTTTATTAGATGCAACAGTGTTTTTAACTCATTTTTGACCAAATGCGGAGCTACCTCATTGGTGCTGCAATTACAGTACAAGCTCGATAATCTGGCACCATAAAATTTTTATCACTGCTGGATTACTGGGTTTAATGACAAAAAATCAGATGACGGCAATGTAGAAATCACTTCTACATTGTCGTCATCTGATTCAGTCCACGCTGAATTCATTCAGTACTATGTCTTCTGCTTCATTTATTAGATCTTCGTCAGTTGTCATCGTTTTGTTGCCCGGATCGTCCCCAAACCACGTTTCAATATCTTGCTCTGTGAAGTTCATTCAGCTTTTACTTCATTATTATCTAATGATGCCAACAACTTCCGCCATGACGATCGTATTACCCTCTCAAGTACACTATTTCAAGCCTCAGTCACGGTAAATACAGCATGTTTTAAATTCGTGTCTTTTAACGTTTTCGTGATATATCTTCTCGCAAAACTGCATTCAGGATTTTTTTTATAATAAGTCTTTATCATTTGGATCACATTTTGATTCATAAGTTGAAGCAGTGGTGTACAATTAGGTGGCAAAAATAGTGTTTATTGTCTAAAATAAGAAGTGCTTTCGGCGGAAAGTTCTTGCTTTTTAAAAAACGTCGTACTACTGAGACAAAATCATTGCGGAATTATTCTAGGAAAACTTCTTTGGCATCCCATGCTTGCTTTTGGTAACATTTTTAAATTCCCTAGGTGATCTCGCTTTGCCTATAAACAAACGTTGGAGTTTATGTGTACCATTAACATTGGCACAAGGGATAGCAGTAACCTTGTTTTTGGACACTTGTCTGCTTGGTACTTTTCGCTCTTCCCTGTAAACACATGCCTTGTTTGGCAAAACTTTCCAGAACAATCCACTTTCATTGGAATTTTAGTCTTATGACCAGGGGTTAAATTATTATCATGTACTGTTTTCCTGACTGAGTCTCAGTTATTAATGAACACTTTTGCAATTAAAAAAACTATTTCTTTTTTTTATTCATTATTATTACAAAAATAAATTAATCGCAGTAAAATATTAAAATCATATAAAAATACAGAAAAAATCTTATGCAGTATCTCCATCATCATCACATTGTTTATTTACATATTCAGAAAGACCTTTGGCGGCCAATTTTCGTACTTTGTGTTTATTGATAGATTTCATAGCTGATTGGTGTCTTTTAAATCCTTTAATTCCTGGTGATGGTCTCGCTAATTGCGGTTCTGGGAACCGAACATCTTTACTATGACCACCCATACCATCATAATGATAATCACAATTGAATGGTTTAGTCGTTTTTGGTAGTAATAACTGAAAAATAAGTAAAATAAATAAAGAAAAATTATATAGTATTCAACAGAAGGAGTAAACAGGAAAAGAAACAATGCGATTGAGATGTGGCAACAATTGGAGTGCAGGGACAGGGATGTGGAAATGCAAGTTGGTAGCCAGGTTTAGATGTGGCAATGAAGAAAACGCGAATTGGACACTACACTATGTTAATTAATTATCGTACCCGACATCATCATTGCAAGTATGCAACCAATATCACAGTATGTGTATTGCAACACGCGATTTGCGTATTGGGTTGCATACTTGCAATGATGACGGCTACGATAATTAATTAAGACACTGTATGTGGGGAAGGCTGGGAGTCTTTACACCATCTGGTGGTGGAGTGTAGTGACTTGAGGGAAGAAGAGATGGATTGGAGGCTGGTACTGGGGGAGAGGGCGTAAGGAAGGAGATGGATGGGGAAGGTGGTGGCAGCAAGGAGATGTAGGGTGACAGGGAGACCTTGGTTAAAGGAATTATATGTTATAAGTATTGTAGTATAAATTGTAACCTTCTGGGAAACAATAAATTATTATTAAATAAATAAAGAAAAATAATCAAAATGAAAATATTACCTGTCCTATTGTTTTTTTAACACCTTCATTGGATTTAGTGACTACTGGGCTTATTATACAAGATAGACCCACACTGCTACTTTTTATTGCTGGCGTATAAGTTAAATCTAAGTGAAGTTTTGAACCAGCATTTTCAGTCTAAAACATTAAAATTTATTTAATAGATAATAATAATAGTCATATATTGTATATTTACTGCAGGTAAAGATTTAGATGGCTGCTTTGGTGAATCTAAAATAAAACAATCCGAGTCTGATGATTTATTAACATAAGTTGAATCAAGACAAATGGGCGAGTTAGTAGGCTTTAACTTAGGAGCTAAACATCTTCTTCCCTTATTTTCTTTAAAATCCTCAAATTCCTTTTTTACATCTACCAACTCATTTTTCAATTGAGTAATATTGGCATGCAAAACTTTCATTGTCATATTATCATATCGATGTTTTCTTTGATTTTCAACAAGTTCCCTAAATTTATAAAAACAATAAGAAAAAAACAATATTTTTTTAATGTTTTATATACAGATGGTTTAAATTTTAATCAGGAAACTTTACTTTTAGGAGCCAAAATAACACAAAGTTTTGTTCCTAGTAATGTTTCCTGATCAAAATCTGAACCACTACTTTTATCATACACACTTTTTTAATGTTTGCACCATTAAAGATAAAGATTTTGGATCATGATCATATTTAAGCATTTCTGTAACTTGATCTTTGCAACCCGATATAATCAAGTCAATGTTTTGCATATCTTTTATTTTGATTGACAAGGATTTGTTTTCATCTCGAAGTTGTTCAAAATCTTTTACTTTTGTTTTAAAATATTGCACTTGGTCCTTTAAGCTACGAATAACGGACTCGTAAGTTACTTTGTCAGATTCATGTTGTTGTATCTCGGTCCTTAAATAAAACAACAAAACATATTTTTCACAACAAAATATAACAAAACAAACCTTAAAAGTTCATTTCGCTTTTTCTCCTTTAACATCTTTTCTTCGTTCTTTTTGATATCTAAATCCTTGAGCTTAATTTGAAACAATGCATTATCTAGTCTTATTTGTAAAGAACCAACATCTTCGACAATCCCTGAAGTATTTAGTGAGGTAACGTAGAGACGTATCATATCTTTTTCTGTAACTTTACATCGGCATTGGGGACAACTTTTTGATCTATTAATAAAAACAGCAATAATATAGTTGCATTTAATAAAATTATGTTTTGTGCCAAAAATATTACCTTTGAAGCCATTGAATAAGACAAATATAATGAAATATATGCCCGCACGTTGTTGCATAAATATCAATTGTAGGATTAAGAATGTCGCTACAGATTATACAAGTAAAACTCATAGTGAAAATAGTACAGGTTAAAATAAAAGTCTTAAAAAATAATTAGGTGAATAATTGGATTAAAATTTGTTATAAAGGATTACTATAAGCTGGGATGGAAAGTTACTTGGCGGAGAATGAACGTTTACGTGATGGAGTAGTATTAAAAAACAGGATCAAACAGGATCTCTCCAAGAACGTTTTTCTTGTACACAAAAACTTGACGTTTATTTAAAAGCGGGATGTAAAACTAATGTTACCAACGTGATATTATTAAAAAGTACTATGGAAATGTCGGTAAAGTAGTTTTATTGTAGTGGATAATTTTCTTTGTTTAATAAATTTAATGTTTAATTTTATAATTTTTTCCAAAAAAACTAAATAAAATATTTGTTTTGTAACTAATTCTTCTAAATCTAATTCTATTTAATACTTGTAGTGGAAAAGATGGCGCTCGTTAGTCAAAATTTACTCTTCAAATAACTCACATTTAAAATTTTCATTTTGAATTATTGAATAAAATAGAAAATTATGTTACTTTTTAATAACATTGAAAATAAGTTAAAAAAATAAAAACAAAAAAATAAAAGAAAAAAGAAATTATTAAAAAAAAAATTTTGCCGAAACCCGGGATTGAACCGGGGACCTTTAGATCTTCAGTCTAACGCTCTCCCAACTGAGCTATTTCGGCTATATATAATGATAAAGAAAATTAGCCTGATATATGCTTAAGTTACACTGATAAAAGATGATTTAATGAACGAAATGTCACTTTATTAAACTTAAGTAATTACATTAATAAAAATTAAATTATAATGAACGCTTAGAATTTCTTCTTCTTTATCATTTCTCCCCAGATGCCATCACAATGTTGGGGTGTTGTTGGGATCCTCTATCTATCTTCTAAAACTATGTCAGTTCCTTTCCATATTCTTCACTTCCTCCTCTCTTGCGCAGTATCTCCATCCTCCCATTTTATTCTTGGCCTGCCTCTTCTTCGTTTTCCAATTATTTCCATTTTCATTATTGTTCTTGGAATTCTTTCTTCTGGCGTTCTGATTAGGTGTCCATACCAACTCTGCTGCTTGTTTTCTATTTCAGTTACCTAGTTATTTATTCTAAATCGTCTCTTATAGTTTTGTTTCTAATTCGATCCATTCTTGTTTTCTTCACAATCCTTCTTTAAAATTTTGTTTCAGGTTATGTTATTTTTGATGTATGGGCCTGGAAGTAAAACTTTATTATCTCTTTCTTCTCGCCAGACACGTTCACGTCCATTAGGAGATTTTAAGTTCTAAACGAAGGTTCGTTAGAGAAGAAAACCTTTTTATATCATTAACAGACCAAAGTTGATGATTTCTGGTAAAACGCTATCTTTAAATTTTGTGCTATCTGGTCTTCTGGTCTATCAGACGTCTTCTGATAGTTCGAAACGATATTACAACATTACATACTTACCGTTTTTTATGGATTCTAAGTACCGAGTACTACATTCATACTTTCTGAACAACCTCCACATATCAAAAACAAAATATCCAGGAAATGTGCTGATTCCGATTACGAGTCAATAGGAATTCCGGGTTGAGACCAGATTTGTACCTGCAAAATTAATCTTTAAAAACACATTCAACTTTTGGTGAGGAGCACAATACGACGCAGTACGGCGCAGAAGTGTGGGGATGGATTGCAACTAGGGTTGGCGAAGGAGACTCCAAGGTATGTAGTGAGGGAGGAGGTTAAGGTGAATGCAGTAAGGGTGGAGGCTGACAGAAGAGCAGTGAAGTACGAGGATAGGATAGAAGAAAAGCCGCATATATGGGCAGGGACAGGGACATACATAGCCAAGAAAGAAGGTCACAGATACGAGAAGGAAGATATAATATAAGGTATGCGGAGATAGTTACAAAAGAACTGCAGAGGATTGGCAGACGCTGGAACACAAGCTGAGAGGGTGTAGTGAGCTGAAGGAAGAGGCGATGGACAAGAAGCACTATTTTATTGGATACAACAGTGTATTTAACTCATTTTTGACCAAATGCGGAGCTGCCTCATTGTAGAGGCAGAATTTGGGAGAGGGGGTGAAGGCGAAAGATGGATGAGGGCGGTAATTGGAGCCTGGGTGTATAAATATATTGTAGAATATTGTAAATTAAAAACAATAAAACGCTTATTACACATTCAACTTTTGCTCAGGGTGCCACAAATGCAAAGTAATGATTACCTGTGGGTGATCATGGAGAGTCACTTGGCACTCATTTGTAGAACAATTTAGGCACTGTAAAGTGAGTCACTGTCCTATTTTGAAGAACACAGCACTCAGTAGCAGGGTTAGAACCAGACATACACATCTAAACGGAATCCTGCAACTCAAAAAATCTCTAGGCTGGTTGGTGTAGTTTGAGAAAAGATATATATAAAGATTGATTTATTTAAATTTTGTACTAAGTTAGAAAACATTTTAATAAATATTTATAAATATAACAAAATCATTAAAAGTAATCTAAAAACAATTATAAAGAAATGTCAAAAATGTCAAAATCAAATTAAAAGTACCTAAAAATCTATTTTTTTAATGACGTTCCAAATGATTGCATCGATTGCATATCGAAACCGTGATCGCGCGAAACCGTCTTAATGCCCCCCAAATCGTAATTGTAAATTAAAAAATGGAAGATCTCTTAACGTTATCGAAAAAAATTCTCAGTCAAACGGCGACAATTCACATTTATTCGTTTCCGAATTTTACGTTAGAAATATTTTTGGCAATCGTCATGTTTATTATATACATTTATTTAACGTTGGAAATTGCGCAAATTGCAAAAACGGCGATTAAAACGCGCCCAAATACGATAATCAGAAAAAAGATTAAAGGTAATAAAAACGTTCTCTTAAAGTGTTAACCATTTCATTTTCCCTTTTTTAGAAGTAAATAGTAGTTTATCGATTTGTTCCTCATCGTTTTCAAAGTATCAAGACACTTTTAATCCTCATTATGAACCGATTCATCCATCAACTCATCTTGCTTATAAAAGGATATCGTCTAAATGTAGTTCGCATTCACAGTTGGGTTGGATCATGCCGAATATGGTAGGAGTTGGTTCTTGTACTTTCCCAGATCTAGAGAATTCGGGAAATTTTGATACAGTCGCATCGATGACCCCAGCTGAATTTGTTAAAAAAGAAAAGGAACGGCGATTGCGCGAAAAAGAACTTCAAAAATGTTTCGAATCTTTAACAAGTTTATATGGCAGTGTTATTGATAGAAAATATTCAGTAAATACGCTTCAAAATAAATTGGAATTAGCTAAAGAAAGTGTTCAATGTGGTAAATGTAATTTAGGTGATATAGATGTTGGTTTATCCGCTGCGATGACAGATAGTTTATTTGATTTATTGGAAAAAATTGTTTTACCAAGTTCTTTGAATAATCCACTTCCTTTTAATGGGGATATGACAAGGTTAGTTTTGGATGCAGGAGATCTTAATTTAAATAAGCAAAATTGTAATGATCCCACTAATGATGGTGTTTATGAAAGATCTTCCACTTCTAGTACGTCTTCAAGTGAAATTATTCCAATTAAAATCAATAATAACATTGCAAGTTATTAAGTTTTTTTTCGGAAAATGATTTTTTGTTTGTAAAATTTTTCATTTAATAAAATAAAGTAAGTACTCACATATCTTAAAAGTCTCCGATTCGAAGATGAATCCCTTTATATTAATCTGAAATCAAAAAATAAAAAAAATTATTTTGAATCCGGCCCTGACTATAACTTAAAACTAAAATATTAAAAGAAAATTAAATTGTTTATAGAAAATAAGCGAAGAAAATCAATAACAAATATCATGGAAGAAAATGGTTGTTGAATAATAAATATTAACTTTTATTAAAATAAAACAAAACTCAGTTTAATTTTTTTAATTAATTTTACAAAAATATAAAATAAACAATTTAACAATAATCACACGATTTGATATGAATTTAAATAAACTTAAAAAGTAATCACAGCCAATTTTTTTGTAAAAACATCCAAAAAGCGTTAATTATAAAAGTTTTGTTACAACTTAACCTCTCCAAATTCTAATTTCAAAAAAAAAAAACAACTGGGTTAATTCCCAATTTTATTAGTGAATCTAAATCATAAATAATTTTAGTTAAAATAATAATAATTGGATTTCAAAATAGGAGGTATTAATAGAAGGAAAATTGAAAATTGGAAAAATCGTTACGGTCCTGTTCAACATTCGAGTTGAGGTTATGATCGCCGCCATGTTGCGATCGAGAAAATGAAAAGTTTCGGCGGGAAATTCAAAATTGAATTGAAATTTTAATTACCGGAATATTTTTATTAACAAAAATTCGTCCTAGCAAGGTTTTATTTGTAAAAATCAGGTTCATACAGATTTTTATTATGAGAAAGAGAAGAAAATTAACGAAAAAAAAAAATATTTATATGTGCGAAGTACATAAACGATTTTCTTATTAGTTCTGATTAAGTTTTAAAAGAAAAATAAAAGAAACATTAAAGAAGTTGTTGTAAATAATCACTAAAATGTGGATGGTTCTTTTATTTTAATTTTTTTACTACGAGAACAAAAAACAAAAAGAAATAAAATTATAGTGGTATCAAATAATGTTCTTGAAATTAATATTTAAATTTCAGTCTAAATTGTTAAATGAATATATTTTGGTAACAATATATTATTATAAAGGTTTGATAATTGAAATATCGAAAACTTTTCAGATAACTCTCATTAATAATAAAATCTAATTCATTATACAAAGTTTTAAATATTCCATGGAACTAATAAAGTTCATTCCTTCATTTCCATAAAGATATTTTTGTCTTATATTGAAATCATTATTAATTATAATAAAACGGACTCAATTTTTGTGGGGACATCAATACAATTTGCTCGCTTCTTGATTAGTTTTTACCAAAATGTATTCATTAAACTCTATTTTATTATTATTTACACCTTGTTACAAAATTTGTACATATTTACAAAAAGGTTATAAACAAAGTACAGGTTCCAACACAAAAAAGACCTAACCTAACTGTTTTTTAAACTGCCTTTTAAAATCATCCTTATCAATTACATTTTTGAACAAATAAAAACAATTTCTTATTTAGTATTAAGAAAAAACACTCATTTAAAAACTAAAAAAAAAAAAAAAATAAACATTTTTAAACCAATTTTTTTCGTAACCTTTTTTAATTTAATTAATTAAAATGTCCTCCACCTCCTCCACGAAACCTTCCTCTAAAAAACCTTCTTGGTCCCCTTCCACGGTTTTTTCTGCCACCCCCCCAATTACGCCTTGCGCCCCTAAAATCACCTCGGCCTCGTTTATTATTACCTCTTCCACGTCCGTTAACAAAATTGTTATTATTAGGAATAAACATCATGTGTGGTACAGGCGGTAATATTCCTCCATGGTGACCACCAGGTCCACATGGAAAGGGGGGCCCTCCCATCATATGTTGTTGTTCGTCCCATTGACCCCCACTTTCATCGAATTCTTCTCCAAAAATCAAATTATCTTCGTCTAAATCATTATTGAGATCATCTAAAATGTCGTTTGCATTTGCATCCGCTTCATCAGAAAATTCTGGAAATGGGGGTGGCGGTTCTAACGTTTTATTGTTCTCATTTAATCGAACAAATTTGAAGTTGTCATTAACGGGATCTTCATCACTTAAATCCATATCGATGCTTTCCACGTTATCGACTCCTTTTCGTGGGGATTGATTCCTTTTATGGTTAGATTTTTGCTGCATTATCTGTATTTGTTGACTGTTTGGGGGTGGAGGTGGAGGAGGTAATTTTAATGCGTCAAATGTGAACGGGAGGCGATAATCTCGATCGGCTTTGTCTTCTGTTTGTTGACCTTTACGATAATCCTAGGATAACATGAATTTTTTTATAATTAATAATAATTTAATAATAATGACATGTTTTTATTTATTGAATAAAATTTGCGATTAAAAATAAACGAACCTGATCTCCTTGTCCACTCCAACTGTTTGATTCTCCATCTTTTGGTGAACCCGTGAGACTTATCAAGTTCCGGTGGTCGATATCCTTTTTTCTGTGGCCTATTTGATTTAGCATAGTAACAAAATTCACCAACAATAATGAAAAGCGCAATTAAAAAAGATCAAATATAGTATTTTGTTTTTGGACGAAACAATAAACCTAAAGTGTAATATTCAACAACCATTTTCAAATTAAAATATTTTGAAAGAAATGTATACAGGGTGTTTTATTTTCTAAATGAATTAAATTTACAAAAAACCATTTCAACATGATCAAAAGCGATACACAGGGTTGTTTCCCTGTTGACACTTATTTAACATTTTTGAAGCATTTCATAAAACTGTTTCAAATTAATTTATATTACCAGTACATGACATAGCGAGTCGGTGTTTCGCACAATCTTCGTGTAGCACTTTGTCTATGTTTATAACAGTTTAATACGTTATATTTGTTTACATGTAGGATGAAATGGAAGAAAATGTCAATAATCTGGTTGCCTCCGAGTAAGATTTAGTAAAAGAACAAGAAGAAAAAACTTGGCAAAGAACTAGGAAGTGATGATGAAGTTGAATATGATAAGGTCTTTATATTGGTAAAAGTAATACTACAAACTGAACAACTTTATGGAAGAAATAATTTCGGCCGACTTCGAAGACGTCGGTCGCCCCAAGTATCATGAACAATCCCTTCGCAAAACCCTTCAAGGGTTTAGGGCAAGTGTAGGTCGTTGATGAACCTTAGTGTTGCTCCAAGGTCTTGTACCTTACGTCCTTTATGTTCTTTATGTAAGTCTCAGGCGAACTTTATCTAACTTTACTTGTAAGGTTTTAAGGTATAGGAAATTTTGTTTGAGTGTTAATATAACTTGTTTAGATACCTTTTAGAAAGAAGTTTCAAGAACTGAAAACGTCAGATTGAAGATTAGTTCATACCATTCAAACATAAGAGTGTGCTTTTGCTTCGTGGAAATTCAAAAATTCTGTACATTTTAACGCACAACTTTTTTTCATTAGATGATATTGATTTCAAATTTTGAAAATTTCTTTATTATGATATAGTAATAATATATGCAAAGAAGGAGGGCCATAAAGAACCATAAATTGAGTAATAACAAAAATTCTTCAATTAAAACTGACACTTTTTCATTCTTTCTTGATTTTTTTTATAAAACTTGTTATCGGTGGGATCTTTTAAGGTGCTGATTACAAATCTGGGATCAGAATTAAAAAACTTTTCAAAAATCAAGATGGCGGATAAAATATAGAGAATTAAAATTGCAAGAAAAAGGATATTTTAACAAAGCTTGGCATCCGGGGAGTTTTTGAGGTCATTGATGGCTGGTACAGGAAGCCTTCCAGCGCACACCGTAAAAGTGGACAAAGTACTTCAAGGAAGTAGGACGTCCAACACCGGGAACGTGTCCCGCCAATTTTTTAAGTATGCAGATGAAGCCGCTGTAGCTATAAAAGTTGATAAGCGATTAATATCTAGATTTGGAACTATTCTTCAGGTATTTATAAAACTACTTCCTCAAATTGTTCATTATGATAATGACAAGAAAAAAAACACCTATGCGTACCTATGCTAGTGCCAAACTGTTTGTGGAGCTGTATGGCTGGCACAGGATGCCTCCCAGCCTACATAAAATCATTTCACATGGTTCTTTAGCCATCAAACATGCCACAGGAGTAGCCAGGAGTAGCCACAGGAGGCAAGGAATAAGGACATGTGGCGATTCAGAGCCCAGCACACCTCATATATAAAAATCTGTGAAGACTTAATTCACATGCTTTTAATATCATCCTGGATCCTGTTATTTCAGGCCTTAGAACGTTCCAGAAAGTCCCATTGAAGGAGCTGAGTCCTAAGGCAAGGGAGGCATAGCGAAGCGGAGAAGGATTCTCCAAGCGAATCGGAAGATGATTCGGATTTAAAATTTTTATAAAAATAGTTCTTCCTTTTACTAGAAACTAAATTAGCAGTTATTTTATCTTTCCATTTTATTTTATACTAATTTTTCTAAATATGTGAAAAACCTCAAAATTCTGTTCTGAGAACTAAATCACCTACTTTTTCCTTCACACATTTTTTTATTATTTTTTTAAGCTATTCTAGCCTTTGTTAAGCTCATAAAACAATTTTGTCCAGCTAGAATCGGGATTCAGCCCAGTGTGCGGTCCGTGAAAATGTCTATAGATGCCCTTTCTGTCGCTTTTCTCGATGCAGAAGTTTATAGCAAGAAGTTCTGCTGAAAAATGATTATGTCCGAGCTGAAGGGCAATTTAATGCGACTATTTGGTTCACTAATCCGGATCCAACTGTTTTTGAAGAATCGGTGTACCAAGCCTCTTTTAAGTTGAGACTCACCCTTCGTCCAATCATCCTTGCTTCTAAATAGGAACCTTATACGGCTGGTCGAAATTATATTCTGTCGGTATAAGGTTCGTTTTAATTTCTATCAAGTGGTTTAGACGTGGGTCCTTGAGGATTTCGAGGTGTTCTCTGAGATTACCCTGCATCAACTTAAGTAAAGAGCATGTTTTCAGTGATAAGATACTTAAAGCTGCCCGCTTTTGTATGTATCATGAACATAACTTAGGGCGAGATTATTTCTTCCATAACCTTCAAGCAGGGTAGAGTTGGTTTCTTGCTCCAACTCCCGAGTAATACCATTAACAAGTTTATGATCAAATATTGCTTCATTATCTTTTATGGTATTAATTAATAAATATTAATAAAAAAAAATCGATTAAAACACGTATTAGGTAAGGTTAGTTTTGTTTACAAATATCAATTACCCTGCGAAAGAATGTTAGGTAAGGTCAGTTAGCTTTTGTAATATCAATTATAACGTGAAGGAATGTTATGCTAGGTCAATTTTCTTTGGTAATTCCGAATTATACTGTGAAGAAAGCCTTCACATTGTTAAGAACACAAATAACACAAGAAGAAGGTCTATTGTATGAATCACAAATTTCAAATTTTGTACCTCAGAACACGAACTTAAACCTTATTGAGAATCTTAACGAGAAAAAAATTAAGAAAATACAAGCAAAATATATTTGTTAAAACTTTTTCTAATTTAGACAAAAACTATTTAATTTGTTTTAACAGTTTGTTTGTTTAAAGTTTATAGATTTAATTAACAAATCCATTCATAACAATCCATTTTCTAACCAGATAAATGACTCATTAAGAACTAATTAGTGTATGTGAGAATTTTCTGGTTTTTGTAGTCCTTGTTAAATTTAAAAATAGTCTCCCACAAATGATTTTAACAAGAAATTCATAATTTATAAACATATCTTTATAAAACACTCTGTAGTACACAAAAATTAAAAAAAGAAAACATAATTAAAAAGGATTATACCTGGATTTTGTCCTGGTAATGCTAAAATCCGATGATCAACATCCACAGATCCACTACCACCAGAATGTGACTCATGATATTCAACGGGTTCCGAAAACGATTCCTTTTCAAACATTGGCGGGCTTTCAGGTGTTTCCATATCAACTGGAGGTTGTTCCCAAACGCCCCCCTCACTTTCCCATGTTTCTGGTTCCTCTTCAGGATTGTACTCGTCATTATAACCGGAATTAAACGTGTTTGAATATGAACTAGTGTTTGATTGAAAATTTGATTCTGGCTGATATCTATTATTTTGCGTGTAATTATTTCCTAAAAAGATATCTAATTTTTTTAAATTCCCAACGTCGAGAAATTTTTATTATAAATAAATATATTTACCGTAGTCATTTGATCCATTTTCATTATAAACTTCCCTATAACCCGCCGAATTATTATACGAATCGTTTTTATTGCAAAATGGTGGCAGAGGAGGTGGCATCAAGGGCACTTGAGAAGCATTATATGGAAAAGCTTGGTTCGGTGCGGACACCGGAAGTGGTGCGGGAGTATCGGGGGGAGGTGGTGGTTGAGTGATCGACGGAAATAAACTCGTTAAAGAATTTGCGTAGTTGTTCTGCGGCCCAGATGGATTCGAATTTGGTGGTGTTTCACGTTTTCCAAAAACAGAATTCATACTCTATTCAACAATTATTTTAAATTCTTTAGATTATAATCGAAAGTAAATAAAAATAAGTATTGTTTTATACGAACCTCCGAGACGTTAAAAGGCATATTTCCCCCCATAAAACTTGAAAATCCATTGTTGATGAAACTTCCTCCTTCTGTTACTGCCGGGGGTGGTACTGGATTGTAAAATCCAGCTTTTTGGTACAGAGTTGTTAAGAAAGATTCTAAATTATTTCAAAATTTAAAAAAAGGGCATAAAAAATTGATAGTGATATGATATGAACAAAAAAATCAATAAAATAGAATTTTATGTATAAATAATTTAAAAAAAAGTATTACCTTTTGGTGGAGATTCAGGATTAGGTAAATCCAAGTCAGAATCAGGACTTGGAGATGGTGCATTAATATCTGGTGAAGGAACAGGACTTGCTAATCTTGGAATAAGTTCTTCTAAATGTTTTTTCTGATCCTTAACTTTTAAAGCAAAAGCTTTGTATGCCTACAATATAATTAATGATATATTAAATGTTTATTTGTAAAAAATTTCAATGCCAAGCTTTAAAACACACAATTTATATTGAAAATGTTTCTACAAGATTAAAACTAAATTTATATCAATATGTGGATTGGCAATGAATAATTTGTTGAATATATATGTAATAAAATTAACACATTGGCTCATCAACTAAAAAAGTTGTCATGTAGCCAACATATTAATTTTAATCAAACACAAAAAATAATAAAATACTTTTTCAACGGTTTTAACATCTTTTTTGTCTTTATCCAAATGTTGTTCTGCTTGTTGTAGTAATGATATTAAATTATGTCTAGCTTTCATCTCTTGTTTTAAAGCATTAACATAAGCTTCCATATGTGAGACATAATCCTCCATTTCTTTTTCAACATCATCAACCTGTGCACGATCTACAAAACATGACAGAAACTAAAATTTTTGTTGCCACAAAGAAATAGTAAACAAACCTTTTAAAGAAGAGCACAAAGATTCTACGTTAATCATCTTTGGGTTGTGTTCTTTAAATTTTTTTAGTTTTAAATCAGTATCTTCCTCCAATTTCGAACAATGTCGTATTTTTGTTATCAAATAAGTTGGCTAAACAGAATAATGATTATAATAACATTTTATTTTACAAATTTATTTTTTACCTGGAATTCTTGTGGCTCATCGTTTCTTCTTGTTGGTGTAGCACTAATTAATCCCGAAAGATCGGTAATAAATTCCTCACCATAAATACAACGTTGTTCCCATATTTTAAAAATCCTCAATATTTTATGTTTAATCTTTTCATCTCTAACCAAGGTAGTTGCTTTTTGTAATGTTGTACTCCAACTTTCCACAAATTCCAAGTTTCTTCTCTTTGAATACTGAATAACATCATTAGCCAAATAAAACAAGGTGAGCCTCTGCTCAATGCTAACGCGTTTTAACACATTCAACCAACTAATCACTATCTTTTTATGATGTTGATGATTTTGCAAGCACCAATGGCAAAAGCTATTAATGCTCTCCTGTGAGTCTTTTAATGATTGCAACTTTTTCTCGAATTGAATAGTATTAAAGTCCTGAACAGATTTGGTACTCATTTTAAAAAGTTCTTTCGAATTCTTCTAATGATGATCAATGAGAATTCGTGGCATTTTTACTTCGTGAACACGAACTTTTAAGTTTTTAAACACATGATACTCACTGGGTTAAAGACGCCGATAAATCCCGAATAATTAGTTACTTTTAAATAGTCCTATTTACTTTAAAAAACTAGTTTTTAATCGCTTTAAGTAACGAGATTATTTATATCCGATTCTATTTATTTTAAAGTCGAATATGCAGATTTATTTACAAAATGCTGGAATGTTGACATCCGCCATTTTATAATAATCCGAAGTTAGGCATAAACAATTACAATCAAATTATTTCTATTTAAACTAACATATAAATACTTTCTAACTAAATGGGTGCATTAAATAATTATGATCTTAAAATATTAATTTCTTTACAACATTTAGTAAAAATACTTTTTTAATAAATCATTTATTTAAACATGTTGATGCTTTCGTTTGTACCAACATACAAAAATCATGTAGTAAATTTTTTATACATGAAGAGAAAAAATAAATTAATTATAAATGAAACTTTTATATTAATCAAATATGCAATAACAAGATAATATAAAAACGTTTATGTTTTTATTATAATTAATATAAAAATGTTTAGGACTCACTTCACTGTATATTACCAACATACAAAAATCACATGGTGTTTAACCTAAAAAAATTGTAAACATGAAGAAAGACAATAAATCTGTTAAAAACACAGAGGGTGTTTTAACCGCAGAAGAAAAACGATTACAATCTATAGCAGCAAAAAAGCAACAATACAAAAGTCATAAAAACGCCATAAAATTTGCGTTAACCAATCTCGTAATTAACTGTACTTTAATTTTTGATCAATTTTTCAATTTATTTGAATTGTAGGATGTAAAAACTAATAAGAAAGTAATTTTTAATGATGAACATTCTGATTTGGAAGTAACCGAGAAAGAAATTCCTTTAAAAAATGGTCATTCTTCGAAAAAACAAAGCTTATTTGACGATGATGAAAATGAAAGTGAGGGAGAATATAACTTTGAGATTAAAGAGCAATTTCAAGGAAAAAAGGGAAAGAAGGTAGCTAAACAAAATAATAAAAATAATTATTATTAATTTTATTTTTAGTTATTGGAATTACAATCAAAATATAAAAATGATAAAAGATTTATGTTGGATGAACGATTCCTAGAGGATAATGATAACTTAAATAGTGATAATGAAGATGTAGTACGTAAAGATGTTGTTGAAAATGATTTGGTGCAAGAAAAACAAGATGATTTGACTGTGTTAGAAGAAATTTTAGGTACAAAAATCAATAGGGACAAAGAAAAAGTGAAAAAGTAAGCATTATTTCACTTAATAGGACCTTAATTATTTTTTGACATTTAGATCAAGTAAAAAATCAATGGTACGGTATGATCCATCTAAACCAGAACAAGCAAACTTAGAAGTTCAAATTACAACGGAAGTCAAACCACCAAAAAAGAAAAAGCATAAAGAAATTCAAGAAAAAAATGAAGAAGAAGTCAAAGAAGTACCTGGTACTTTCTATGAAGTTAAAGATGATTTAAAAGAGAGTTTACAAGAAACCCAACCTTTTAGTTTATTAAATATGTTTGGAAGGAGTGATCCAGAAAGCAATGAAGTTGAAAAAAAGAAAAGAGGAAGAGATGAGGAGGAATGTGTTGAAACAAAGAGTGTGGTTAATAATAAAAATCCATTTCGGTATGATTCTTCTGATAATGAAAGTGATGGGGATATAGAAAAGAATGATAAAGAGGAGGTTGTAAATGAAGAAGTTAAGGATGATACTAAAAATGATGATCGAAAACGAATTAATTTGGGACCTAGAAAATTTTGGACTGATCCATTCTTTTTTAAAAATGATGATTATAGAATACAAGGTAAATATGTGTTGAGGTAATATATAAAATGTTGTCTGTTTTAATCTGATAACAGTCTTTAAGAGTGGTGATAACATCTCATCAAATTACAATTGGTGGTTATTTCTATAATTTATTATTTAAATCTTAATTTTCTAAATACATTTTATATCCTTATTATAAAAATTATTTTAAACATAAATATGTCTAAAAGTCCTTTTTTCTCTATTTATTTAGAAGGATTCGATTTTATTAAAAAATTTGACATAGAAGAAGCCGATTTTTCAACAGTTCGTCGCAACATCAAAGAAATTGTCAAAGCCAAGGTGAAACATAATCAAAAGAAAAATAAAATGTTTAAAAAGAAATTGGGCGGGAAGAAATTAATTAAAATGAAAAAGGCGTTAAAAAGGCGATGATAAAGAATGAAATGAATGTGTATTATTTTTATTATTAAAAAATAAATTGAAGCAACCCCTAAAACAAACTCTTAACTAAACTTAATCGAAATTAGAACAAAATATAACTATATAAATAGTAGTAATAACTGAAAATCTTCGTGTTAATGGGCCAAAAAAACGTTTCTTGTTCCGTCTTTTTTATTATATTAAAAACACGATGTTAATTATTATTTATTAATTATATTAATCATCGTCATCTTCTTCATCATCATTAATAGCATAAGTTTTCGTAACGGTACGATTATTGAATAATTCCATCGTTAAAGCACTCAAAAATACAGGAATTGAATTTTGTTGCCTTAAATGTAAATCGATAAGTTCAACTAAACTCGTGCTGAATTGATTTTCAAGTAAATCCAACCCTCCTTCTGTATTTAATTGGAAACAAACTTGATCTTCTGGTCTTTCTGCATACATACTTGTTAACTTATAATTAGAATTCGAACTTTTATCCACTTTATAACCCATCATCATGTAAATAACGTTTCTAAATTCTTGCATAGAAGATTTAAAATAATCTTTTAAACGTTGAACTTGAATCTCAGAAGTTTTTACTTGTTCTCGTAATGAATTTACTTCCTTTGTGTTAATAACGGATTCGTTTAACTTGCTTTGCTCCAGTCCCTCTTCTAAATTACGTATTTTTCTTTTCAATTTTTCAACTTCTTCTTGTAATTTTTCTTTTTCTTTGCTAACTTTTTCGATATGAGCGCTTAAAGGATTTTTAATGGGATGGATAATTTTCTCTGTTTCTTTTACAACATCTTGCCCAACCAACAAATGTTCAAGTTGTATTTCTAATTGATCTTTTCGATCACGCAACATAACATTTTCAGATTTTAATTGTTCAACTTCCAATTTTAATCGATTCATTTGTTCAGTTTTCATTGAAACAGTCGGTTCTGTATAAGCAGTGGGTTCAGCTTTTTGTAAATCAGACTCCAATTTTGCAATTAATTCCTTGTAACCATCTACGATTTGTTCTAGATTATCGATTCGTTCTTTTTGTGATTGAAATTGGCCTGCTCCGGGTTGAGCTGAACTAGCTGGGGTCATACAAATTGTTAAATCCTTCTCGTACGAATCTAATTGTTTACGATAACTATCGCGTTCTTTACTGATCAATTGAAGTTTCTTTTGCATCCTGTGAATGAGATTTTGACGTTGTTGATTGTTTGTTTGTAAATCAGATACAAGTTTTCGATTTTTTTCTAATTCTGAGTGAGCTACTTTGGAATCCTAATAAAAAAGAAAACAATAATTCGTTAATTAATAAATAATTAATAATTACATGAGAAACTGTTTTATATTGTTGTTCCAATTCCATTTTTTCAGACATTAAATTAATCTCTTGGTGTTGGAGTCTTTCAACTAATGATCGTAACATGTGTTGTAATGAAGTATCCGGGGCGGAAGTCTCACATATAGAACTAGCCAACATTCTCCATTCTGTGAGATGTACTTCACACTGAGCTTTATCAACTTGTAAAGAAGCTAATTTCCTTTCATGTTCTTTAAATGTAACAAGGCGATTTCGCAAATCATGAACTTCTTCTTCCAAAATTAATTTATTGTGGACTTCATCTTTGAGCCTTTTTGTTTCTTCTATTAAACGTTTATTTTCTGCTTCTAACGTGCCAAATGTGCTTAATTTATGCTGTTGAGTCTACAAATCAAACTAAATTAAACTGAACTAAATTAATAAAATTATTTACTTTTGCTTGTCGTTGAATTTCTTCATAAGTTTCTTTAATATATTCCAAATCTTTTAAATCCTGCAACGCCTTTTGTAATTTAACTTCTTTCATCTCAAAATTTTGTTGCAATTGACTTAAAGATGCAACTTTACTTTCCAAAGCTACTACTACTTTCTTTTGAACTTCAAGTTCTTCTTGACCCATCTTATATAAAGCCTCAATTTCAACCAATTCTTTTTTAAACTTCCTAATCTCTTCGACATCCTCAATTTCTCGTATGTTTTTCTCAGAAGAAATATTCATCATATCTTTTTTTAAAGCATCAATTTTTGCAGTAGCTTCGGTTTTAAAAGCACTCAATTCTAATTTTACATCAGCAAGTTCCTTTTTTAATTCAATTTCCTTTTTTCTTGTATTTTGCAATTGACTTTCTAAATCTTCTATATTTTTCGAATCCTGTTGAACTTGAGCTCGTAAAATTGCCGTTTCGTTATCAAACATAATTTGCATCTCTTTTCTAACAGTATGCATATGTTCAATTTGATTTTCTAGAATCATTATACGATTTCTTGTTGATAATAGATTCAAACGCATCCTTCTTACTTCCTGTGCAGACTCTTCATAAGATACATCTAAAATACTCTCAACTTTTAACCTTTTTGCCGGCGTTTCTTCAGTTGGACTATTGGTGTTATTCATAGAACTTGAACTGCGCTTTACCGGCGTCGAATTCATGCTTAATTTTAACTTATGCGGCTTCAACGTCGTTAATAAATCAGCTATTGTTTGATTAATGTTAGTGTTGTTGTTTGACATGATTTTTTCGTCAGAATTTGTTTAATTCATAATAACTTTAAAATGGTTAGTTTTTAAACTGTAGAACCTCACTTTTATTTATATTTTACATAAGAAACCGCGAGGGTAAACTCGACACAAACGCGCTTCTAAAACGTCAACTGTCAAAGTCAAAAGGCGATTTTATTGAAGTTCGTTTGATGGTTAAGTCTTGAATAAAGTTTAGTTATCACATCAAGTTAGATTGAGACGCATTTGTGATATCTCTTAATATTTCTTCTAAAAACGATTTAAGTAGTTATTGTATAAGTAAATAAATAAAGTTGTAACTGACCGATTTAATTCAAATTTAATAACAGATGTTAATCGAACACTTACATTAATGTCAAACCTGTGGCTGTTAAACAGTTAATTATTTGAAAAGCGATTATTTATTTATTCTTTTTTTGACTATTTTTAGGCTTTATTTGGAAATTGATTGTAGACTTTTAATTGTAAGTAATAATTGTTAAACATAATAGTAATTTGACGGCTGTTGGAAGAACCGGTAAACAGATTGGGTGACACTGACCCATAGAGTACTTAATACATTGCTTAGATCAATGTATTAGTGAAAATTTGTCTTATATTGGGTCGATTTAATTTTTATAAATAAACATATTGAGTTGATTAATTAAAAATTAATGTAATTGAATTGATTTTGCTAATATTAAATTAGGAATTTTAAGCGTACCTCCTTCAAATTTTAAAAGAATGGCTGTAATGTTGTATATTCTATGGGTTTTAACCAATCAAAAAATCGGTACCAAGTTGTCATGCGCGATTGTTTCGGTACCGCTTGTAGCGGCCCCTGAAAAGACCCGCAGCCATTTTGCAAGCGTCCCCAGCAATTGTTTGAGAAACGCTTACAACAAGTGTGTTTTCGATACGGTTCCGTTTCTTAGCGGGAAAGTTGAGCACGATTTTCGCCGGAAATTAATCATTGAGACGATATGGGCGATTACCAGGTGACCAGTGTACAACAAGACGCTTTAGGGGCCGTACAGCTGGAGCTCGGGGCAAACCCAAATGCACTTGCACTTCGGCGCCCCTTTGATCCACTCGCCCACGATTTAGAAGCTAGCTTTCGATTAACCCGTTTTGCCGATCTTAAAGGACGAGGTTGTAAGGTACCCCAAGAAGTTCTCAATAAACTGGTAGAAGGGTTACAACAAGATTACAATACCGCTGCTGAACATGAACATTCACATTTTATGCACATGGCAATGCCTCGTATTGGAATTGGATTAGATTGCTCGGTAAGAAAAACGATAATATCCATGAAAAATTAATTAAAACATAACAAATGTAGGTGACTCCTTTAAGAAATGGTGGTTATTGTCTGGTACAAACTACCGATTTCTTTTACCCTTTGGTTGACGACCCTTATATGATGGGTAAAATAGCGTGTGCTAACGTTTTGAGTGATTTGTATGCAATGGGAGTAACGGAATGTGACAATATGTTGATGTTATTGGGGGTTAGTACTAAAATGACTGAGAAAGAACGTGATGTTGTCATCCCATTGATTATGAGGGGTTTCAAGGATTCCGCTTTGGAAGCTGGAACTTCTGTAACGGGAGGCCAAACTGTTGTTAATCCGTGGTGTACCATTGGAGGTGTTGCTTCTACTGTTTGTCAACCAAATGAGTATATTGTGCCTGATAATGCTGTTGTTGGCGATGTTTTGGTTTTAACAAAACCATTAGGAACACAGGTAAGAAAAATTAATAAAATAAAGTTATTATATAGGTGTCCCATGTAAGTGGCAAAGTACATAAATCACATTAATATTTTCATACATGTGTTCCATAACGAATGGAATGATATAGTTTTGATTGCATGTTCTGGTTCTACATATCAAAATAAGTTGACTTTGATAAGATACGTTAATACTTACCGCTTTTAGTTTTTGAGTTATTTTAATTAGAATCTCTTTTTTTAGCAATTAATCCTCTGAATTTAATCTGAATTTTTTAGCAACTGATCGAACTAGAAAGTTAAAATTTGTGATAGTTGCTGCTTGGATATCCTTAAATAGAGTTTCATTGGCTATATCAGTGTATCTTCTATAGGATGTTTAAAAATGTAACTACTGTTTTACCATATTCAATTGCAAAAAAGTCGAAAATTTGAAATGGAACACCCCATATTTGACTAGCTTATCAAATAGAGAATTTAATTCTTTATAAATCTTCAATACATGATATAACTTAAAACAAAATTTTGGATGTAAGGCGACATTACATTTTTGGCAAATGGTTTGGTTTTCTTGATAAAGTACTTTATCATATCTCGAATTTACATGTAAATTAGCAGAAGCCTTAGAGGGTCCACGTTCTGTAAATTTTTTCCAGTATGTTGGTAGCAATTGCTCTTTTAAAGCTTAAATGATCCATTTTTCCTCTTCTAATTCAGTGAAGCTGCCAAGCAATTTGCTCCGCCATTTCCTCACATTGGCAAATGAGCGGAAAATGCCATTTTTTTTCCACAAATCGAACACCTATACAGGCTAATATTTTAATCACAGTGATCAACACCGTCCATGTTATTATTGTATTGTTTAACAATATTTGGTTGATCAACATTAATGTGCTTCTTTTCTTTTTGCGAAAATCGTTTTGCTTGGGTAAGAGGAGCTATTGTGGATGAATTAGATGCAAATGAAACTACATTATTATTATTCCATTGGCAAATTATTATTTGACTGTCCTTTTCTAGTACATAATTGTATGTACCTCTTTTAGATTTTTTTACTTCCAAAGAAGTAGGTAGAGGGCTTGATTTTCTCTATGCTTGAGTTCTTGAAATAACGTAATTGAAGAAAAGAAATTGTCAAAGTACAGATGACTACCTGTCCAGTTAGATTGTGAAACATCTGTATATTGGAGGAAAACACTGGATCCAAGTCCTATATCTTTGTAAGCTGCAGGTAAAGTAGTGAATTTTCCTTGATATGGATCAAACCATAAAACATATCCCATCTTATCTAATTGGCTTGCTACAAATAAACTGCTTGCATGAATGCCATCCACAGTAAGGAACCATAGCTTCATCTATACTATGATGTTTTTGAAACGGTGCAAAATCAATAAATGATTTGTTTACTGCAGTAAACAGTGGCCTTACTTTAGCAAATTTATCGTTTTTTTTCAAATTCATCATTGTTGCAGCAGTGCAAAACTTTTATGATGTACATGAAAGGTCTCATAAAAAACACAGGATTTCTTCTGATGTTGTATTACCAATAAAATTTCTTTTAGTTGCATAAATATTGCTGTAAGTTAAGATTAAGCTGATTACTTCTGCGTTAAAAAAATATTTGAAACAACTCCAGTGGTGTCAGTTGTTGCTGTGGACCAAGTATTTCTATCCATTCAGTGAAATTGTTTTCAACAATATTCTGTCTGATCCAAGAATATGACTTTGCAGGTCTTGTTATCAGGTTCTGTTTTGGAGCGGTGACAAATGTTGATAATGGCAAATCATCTTCAGAATCATAATCAGAATCCACCAGAAACTCTGCAGTTGGTCTTAGTTCAACACCAGTCAAATTATTGATAGTAACATAATTCTCTTCACCAGAATCTTCATCTGTAACGTCATTTGCGTTCTCTGGAGGAAAAATAGCAATGCCTGTTGGAGGAACTGGAAAGTCATTGATATTTTCTAGCTCCTCCAGAAGTTTGTATAATTTTAAAGGTCTCCTGAAAAAGCAAACATTTTGATGATATATTCTACTAGTAGCAGATAATGTGCTACCTTCGTTTTAAAAGGACACTCAACTTTAGAGCAATTTGGTGGGGTTATATTTCATAGAAACTTGAAAACATAACTTACCATCAATACTTCAAACCATTTTTGAGCATAACTAAACGAAAATCATTCAATTAGGACATTACACATGTGGAAAATACTTACCTCCAATCGTCTATGTTAGAACAGCAAGCGACACGAATTATAATAATATTTATAACTTCAACACAAATATTAGTTTTTCAAATTATTGAAGAATGAAACCACTGTAAAAGAGTTCCTTTACAACACTACTGTAACGCCTTCTAGGTATCAGAAGCTGAACTTCTAGAAAATAAGGAAACATTTGACGTCCTTTTGACTGGGTTAATTGCTAAAAAAAAAATTCTAATTAAAATAACTCAAAAACTAAAAGCACTAGGTATCAACACATCTTATCAAAGCTATATCAACATATTTTTGTGTGTAGAATCAGAACAAGCAATAAAAACTGTACTATTCCATTTAAAATAACATATGTTTATTTCGGTACGTCGCTATGGAACTCCCTGTATGTATAAAAATATTTCCGTTTATAATGTGGTAAATCTCGTGTGTATCTCAGCTTCTTAATGCCATTTATGGTACTTTGCTACTTACGTGGGACACCCCCTGTATTTTTAAAATTTCATTAATTATATTAACTTTTTTATTTAGGTTGCTGTTAATGCACATCAATGGTTAGATCAACCTGAACGTTGGAATCGTATAAAATTAGTTGTAAGTGAAGAAGATGTTCGTAAAGCGTATCATCGAGCAATGGATTCAATGGCTCGTTTAAATCGTATAGCGAGTCGATTGATGCATAAATACAACGCTCACGGTGCAACGGACGTGACTGGTTTTGGGTTATTGGGTCATGCCCAAACATTGGCTTCACATCAAAAGAATGACGTTTCATTTGTTATCCATAATTTACCGGTTATTGCAAAAATGGCCGCTGTAGCAAAAGCATGCGGTAACATGTTCCAGTTGTTACAAGGTCATTCCGCAGAAACTTCGGGTGGATTGTTGATTTGTTTGCCCAGAGAACAGGCAGCAGCTTATTGTAAGGATATTGAGAAACAAGAAGGTTATCAAGCGTGGATTATCGGGATTGTTGAAAAAGGAAATAGGACGGCTCGTATTATTGATAAGCCGCGAGTGATTGAGGTGCCAGCCAAGGAGTAAACTTTTTTTTTTAATAATAATATTTACAATTATAAACAATGCGTTAAAAAAATTATTAAAAAATGAGCTTTTTTCGAAGCTTTCTAATTATTAATTTTTATGATTAGATAATTATTGTAGCAGATTCCTTGCTATTTCACTCTTAAAAATAATATAAAGGGACAAAACAGAATATAGAAAAACAATTTTAAAAAATACAAAACGAGTTTTGTCGCCTACTTTTCTATGTTTCCTGGTAGATATCTTAGTAGTTAAACAGTTCATATCCTGTGAGGTTTTTCTCGGATATACTTTTTGGTTTCTTTAAACTTAAATATTTTTTTTATTAATTTAAGAAGTAGCCATAAGAGAGATTTGTATTCGTAAGTTTTGTAAGATACTTTTCGGAAATATAGAGTTTGAATCTGATTTTAGTGTGGATTTACATTGAAATATAGTGTAGGTAAACTCCAAAGAAGGTACACTGTGTTAATTAATTATCGTATCAGACGTCATCATTGCAAGTGTGCAACCAAATACGCAAATCGCGTATTGCAATACCATTACTGTGAGATTGGTTGCATACTTAGGATAACTAATTAACACTGTATAACTTGACATTTTGCTAAGTTTTAGATAATGGCATTATTTATTATTTTAAATAATTCTAGACAGGTGTATTGGTTTATGATTGATGGATGGGTTAGGCCAATAGATAATTGGACATGGTCCATTTAATGTATGTATTCAATATATATACAAATATATCCATCTATTTATAATTTAACAGCATGTAAAGCATAACAAATTGAGGTACCTTGAATCCACGACCATGAATTTGTAAAATAATTGTATAACATTCCATGAATAAGTTTTGTTCGACAATTATCTAAAAAAAAAATAATCAAATATTGGATTAATGTAATTTAAAAAACCCTACTTACTTTCTTCTAATAATCTTTGTATAACATGTGGTTCAATAAATTTTTCATAATCGTGTGTCCCTTTCGGAACAAGCCCAACCAAATCTTCAACAACAAATATCCCTAAACATTTTGCTAATAACGTTTTATTCATAGTTGTAACAAAAATTGATCCCCCTGGCTTTAAGCATTGAACACATTCAGAAATAAATCGTTGATGGTCACAAACATGTTCAATTATTTCTGAAGCTACGACTCCATCAAACACACATTTATTCTTATCATCATTAGCAAACTCTTCTATTGAAGTACAAAAATAATTCAAATCTTTTAATTTATTGTCTTTATGTGAGTGTTGTGTTGCAACTTGTATTAAATCTTTTGATGCATCTATACCAGTTACTTCAGCACCTAACCTAGATAAAGGTTCTGATAATAAACCCCCTAAAAACATACAATTCATTAATTTAGTAATTTAATTGAAAATTAATTATAAAAAAAACCTCCACATCCTACATCTAAAATTTTAAATCCTTTTAAGGGGTTAAAACAGTTTTTAAGGTTATGTTTAGGATCTGATTCTAATAATCCTTCTCGAATCAACGGAACACGGAGTTTATTTAAAGAATGAAGAGTTTTCATCATCCCCATTTCATCCCACCACGTTGATGAATAATGTTTAAAGTGTTCAATTTCACCATCATCTACTGTTGTTGATTGTACCGAATAGTTACTTAAAAAAAATTAAGGAGTACAATATATTTGGTGTTGAAAAAATGTATTAAACTTACCGAATTGACAAAAAAAATAGATTTTTTAACGAGTTGGACCTTATTAACTTAGAAAGTAACATATTTTATGAATAATTAATGTAAAACAATTTGAACATAACCTCAAATTATAATTTGAGTATTTTGATGAAAAGTAAACAACATGAAGTTGGGTTTAAATGTAAAAAGTATTGTGTGAAATTAGTTGAAAATGAATTTTGAATTTTAGCCTAATAATGTAATACAACAAAATTTTTAACAGTACAAGTAAAAATGTTCATTTCTGAAGATACCACTACAGATCGAAACAAAGCCAGGACAGATCCTAGTCCCCAAAATCTATAAAGGCAATATGAAACAAGAAAACAGTCATCATTTATAGTTTTTGGAAAAATGTGTCTTAACTGCGATCCAAAAGTTAAACAAAGAAAGTTTGGAAGAATGAAGGTCTAAGCATATACCAGGTATATATATGCTAGATTAACAACGAATATAAACACAAAAACAGGAATGATGACGAACTTGTAGAATTCAGGGAAAAATATTCAAAAAGTTTAGAGAATCACATAGAAGATATACTGAATATTGAAAGTCTAAATAAAGATAATGAAAACTGACATCGAAGATGATGATTCTGAGATGAGATCAAAAAGTTTAACAAGGAATGTTTTTTGGCTATGTCTAAGATGTAAAAGGATACAAGGTCTATCTACTAAGGTCTCATATACAAGGTATATGCCAGATTAACAGATGGATGATATGAATTATTTACGAATTAGCAAGAATTTTATTGGCAATGAGTAATGAAGATATGAAGGTTATGTGTTATAATGACGCAATAACAAGTAGCGACTGTAGGAAATGGAAAGAAGTAATAACCCGAAAATACAGCTTAGTATCGTGTTTTATCCCCATTTTGATTGTTAAGCACTATTTTGAATTACTATAAAAATTGCGGAATATTCGACGTGGGTAAAAAGTCAACTGAACTTTCAAATGAACAAAGAAAAATAATAATAAAATTTCATATAAAACGAAAATTTTTGCTTGAAATCGTAAAAATAATGAAGCGCAGCACCTCTACTACACAATACGAGGGTGTGTAAACATTTTAAAGCAATGTGCAGAAAAATGGGATGTTTACAAGATTTTATCTTCAACAGGATAATGATTCGAAGCATACTAGATTCTAGACTTAGACCATGTACAGCTGTTCAGAGTACCTCAAAACATTGTCACAAAGCCCAGATCTTATCGTTAAACCCATTGTCAATATTCAAGAAATTGAAATATCACGATATTAGGAACGTAATCGACTTAAAAATAGCGTTGACGACAGAATCGACTAAAATACCACCTCAATTAACCACTAAACAAGCGGAATTAATGCCGAGGTGTCGAAGTGCTGTTGTTAAGCAAACAGGCATCCAGCAAAGTATTAGATGGCTAATACTTTGCTTTTACTCTTCTAAGTATTCTAAGTATCTTCCAAAACATTGAAGACCAATATATTTAAATTATTTATGGTATTTTAATTTTTCCTTAAATGTTAATAGAAAAAAATATTATTAAATAGAATCGATATTACGTAAAAATATAAATATTTAAAAAATTCCTATTTTTCATGATTCTGAGTATTATATAAAATCAATTTTGTTTATTTTATATATATTTTTTTTTGAATTTTAAATTAACTGTTAATTCCAAGAACATAAAATTGAATCAGAGCATAAAGTATTCAAATGATAATAATAAAATAATTTACTTCTTAATCATTTAAGCTTACTTTCCAGCTATTACTAAGCCTATTTATTTAATAATTAAATATGTAATTCAACAAATATGTAACAAACAAGTCGTCATAGTGTTCTACATATTTTCCATTCAAGGGTAAATAATTCACGTACAAGAATGACTTGTAGAAATCTGCTACGACGTCGTGAAAAGCAAATGAAAAGAAAAATAATGTCTACACAATTTATATTACTCAGCAAACGATTCAAATTCTTGACAATTTTTTTTAAAACTATGTTCCCACTCTCACCATTTTTTAAGGCAATACATTTCATACTTGGAATAATATTCCCCCATTATTTATTTAAATCTATAAAAAAATCATAAAATGCAAAACGTTCATTGAAAAAACTTATTCGTCAAATAAATCGGTGGTTAAAATGATCACCGTAAAGTTATTGATATTTTCATTAAGTTTATTACTTGGCTGTTGTATTTGGAACGTTTTAAGTTGTAAATCTGTAGATTTTGGAAATGGTGGAACAGCTTGTGTGTGCGATGAAAACTATTGCGATTTCATTGGTCCAGCTAAAAAGCCTGGTGGGAACGGATATGTTATATACACTTCTAATTTAGCTGGATTGAGATTTAATGCAAGTTATGGAAAATTCATTCAAGATAATGGAAATTCAGGATCTAAAAAGAAACATTTCAAACATTTAATTAACAAGAAAAAGCATGAAAAACGGGATTATGATAATACAATACTAGAATTGAATGAAGATGTAACTTATCAAAGCATTTTTGGATTTGGTGGTGCATTTACTGATTCAACTGGGTTTAACATAAAATCATTACCACTAAAGTTACAGACCGCTATTATGATGTATCATAAAAGATGACTTTTAAAAAAATTTTTTTTCATTACATTTTTTTTTAGTTCATATTTTGGTATGGAAGGAATTGAATACAACGTTGGGAGAGTACCGATTGGTGGGACAGATTTTTCGCCATACAGTTATTCTTATGACGATGGCCCCGAAGACAAAAATCTAACAAATTTTGCTTTAAAGGATCTCGATTACAAATACAAAATTCCTTTTGTAAAGGAAGCTAAAATTTTAAACGATGAATTGGAATTGTATGGTTCCGCTTGGACAGCCCCAATTTGGATGAAAACCAACAACAGTACGGTTGGTGGAACGATAAAACCGGAAATGTATCAAACTTGGGCGAATTATTATGTAAAATTTTTGGAGGAGTACGAAAAAAATAATATTTCTTTTTGGGGGATTACAACCGGAAATGAACCTAGTTTAGCTTTGTTTCCGTTAATTTTAGCAAACGTTAATACGGTTGGTTGGACTCCAGATCAATTAGCAAAATGGGTTTCAGAAAATTATGGACCGACATTAAGAAATTCTAAGTATAAAGACATTAAACTTATGGCTATGGATGATCAACGATACTTTTTACCTGGCTTATACAAAGTGGTATGAATATTTTGTTTTTTTAATAAAAATTGTTTTTTTTATTATTTTTAAAATGTTAACATTTCTTTAGTTGGATGGCCCAACAAATGCATCGTCATACATTGATGGAATAGCTGTTCATTGGTATTTAGACAAATATGTCCCTGCAACAACGTTAAATACAACCCATTATAAATATGAAGATAAATTCATTTTGTCAACAGAAGCATGTGAAGGTAATTAAATTATTTTTTATGAATACATATATGTAGATATATATTTTAGGTTCTACACGTGTTGATAAAGGCGTTAGATTAGGTAATTGGCAAAGAGGAGAAAATTACGCAAAAGATATTATTGATGTAAATATAAAAACATTAAAAATACAAAAAATGTATCCTAATTTTTTATAGGATTTAAATAACTGGGTAATAGGTTGGGTAGATTGGAATATGGCTATAAACATGACCGGGGGACCCACTTACGTTGAAAATATCGTCGATGCCCCTATAATAGTAGACGGAAAAAGTAAAGTATTTTATAAAAATCCGATGTATTACGCAATGGGACATTTTTCCAAATTTTTACCAAGAGGATCGCGTCGCATTTCTTTAACTGGTGATTATACAAATCTTGACATCGTAGCTTTCAAGAAACCAAAAGGAGGGATTGCCATTGAAATCCTCAATAGGTAATTATTATTTAATATTATTTAATGATTTTATTTTGTAACTATTTTTATGATTTTAAGGTATAACTATTCAATACCGTTGAAGATTCGTTATAAGAATAATAAATTGATCAGTTTGAATGTTACACCGAAATCTATGAATACAGTATATTGGTAACTAAATTGATAAAACAATTTTTTTTCGAAAATTATAAAATGAAAGAAAATTATATCTGATAACTAAATTCGATGCTTTTTAATTTCAACCTAAATCTTTAAAAAAATCAAATTCCAATCCCAATTAATCATCATTCATTGATTTAAGTACAGCTATTAGCCATTACGAGAATACGGAAAATTAATTCTGTAAACTATTATGTGCTTTAACTGGCCTTTAATTGTTATTTTTAGTCTTACTAGTTTCGGGATTCGGCCATCATCAGAGACTATGTCAAATGAGTTTATAGAATATACTCTAAGGTCTGATCGCCGATCGTCGGATAAACGGCAGCCGACTTCCGGAGAGTATAATTTACTTTTATATGATATGGCAACGCAAACAATAGGGTGCGATGAGTTCGTAGATTTAACTTTGTATAGTTAGCAACATCACTAATGATATCACAATGGAAAGCAAAAAGTTAATAATTATGTGGTGTTTATATCCAAAATATCGCCGAAATATGGATATGTCAGTATTTCAGAATGTCACAACTCTCTTTTGATGTGTTACATGATCGTTTCAAAAATGTTATACAGTGTCAAAATACAAATATTAGAAGTTATATAGAAGTAATTAGGTAAGTAAAAGAGAGTATTTATTATGTGATTTATTAAACTAAAGCTAGTTACAATTTTTTATTTGAGAGGTTGATGGATCTTTTATGGCTGTGTGCTTAAAAAATGAACCGTACTGAAATTATGTGTATTTTGTTGTTTAATTTTTTTAATTAATTGTAGAACTCCTAATTGGAATTCTACAATTTCATCGTCATTAAAATTATTTAATGTAGGGATAATCCCTTGGAAAAAAGATAGATGCCTATTAGGTTGAACTTCTAATATTTCATGCATGTTTTCTTCAAATTCTTCAGAATGTCTTCGTTTTCGCTCCTGTTTTACTATGTCGACTCTTTCCATTTTTCTGTCAACAATTTCTTCATCATCATTTTCATCAGAATTTTGTGATTCTTCTGGAAAACTCGGCGTATCTCGCCTATATATAGTTTTATTTAAAAATTGAAGTTGATCATGGTATATATATTTTTTTATTTCAACACATCCGGATCCAGATTTTTTATTTTCTTTAATTTTCTTTTTTGATTTACAAAAACTATCTCTGATATTTGACCATTTCTTTACCACTTCTTTATCTGAAAATAAATAAAATATCAATTAATATTTTGATTGTTCCAAATATCTATCCAGTGATTACACATTGTGAAGGATGTGTGCACAAGCTATTTGGGCTGTCATGAAATTAGGGTGTATACCTATACTAGACAAGGAAATGTGGGAGTCGATTGCTGTCAAATTTGAAGAAAGGACTAAATTTCTTCATTGCTTGGGGTCTGTTGACGAGAAGCAGATTCGGATTACCGTTTCAATAAGATGGAAATATTTGTTAAAAATTGCCTTCCAGGTGCAGTGAACATAAATATCTCCTTATACCATACGGGAGATCAAATTTGACATTTAAACAAAAAATTTTCAACTACCGCTTAAGTAGAGCTCGAAGATACTTTGAGGATAATTGAGGACACTACATCGTGTAGTTCGTGAGACATAGTTTTTAAGAAGAAAATTATATGACAATACTTGGATTTGCAGACTTAAATAATGAGCTACTCACAAAATGTGTATTTCTCCTTTTCACCAAAGTTTGAGTAGTCGCTTTTTAATATGCGACATATTTCTTCCCAGCATTTTTTGGTTTCGGCTTTATTTTTATATACGTCAAGAGTTTTGTCCCACAATACAGGTCTTTCTTCGACAAGACTGATTAATAAGTCGACATCCATTTTTGTACTTATAAGAATTTTTTCATAACCTATAAATAAAGCAAAAACACCGAATCCAACGTTCGTCCAAAACCGTTTCGACTTTGCCGTATAAACGCGCGTACTACTATAAAATCGATGACCGGATACCCGGTTTCCGGCAGCTGGGCGCGCAGTGGTGCTATTCGCCGAGCAGCCGGTTCCCCTTCTCCGGCTAACCGGTACTATAGTTCATGTAAAATCTCTCATACTCGTAACGTCTAACAATCTAGCGATTTACTCGTGTGAAACGGGTCTCATACTGTCTAGGTTGCTGGATAAACAGCAGGCGGCTAGACGACTGTAGGAGAGTATAATTTGCTTTTACACGATATTGCCACGGAGACAATCGGCTGCGATGGTTGTGTATATTTAACTTTAGCAAAAACTCCGATTCCAGTTTCATAGGAAGCGTTCAGTGGAGTTTCAATTAATTTCATGTGCCTGGGTAATTCTGAGTGGAGATTAAAGGGTTAAAAGACGTTTAGTAGATGTTCTGCAAAGATATTTTCTTTCCTTATAATTAGAGAGATTACTAAGAAAATTTTCAACGTTTTTGTGCCGTTTTAGGGTTTCTTTCAGCAGATGGGTAGCCTTATTCAGTTTTGTTTTAATATCCTGTGATTGGGTTATTTGGCAGAATGTCTTAATCTTTTCTTATCTCTAACCATGTTGCTAATGTCACGTGGTTTTTGTAGTGCTTCACGGAGTGGAGTCTGGGGTCTCCTGGTGTCTCAGTTTCTGCTGTGGTTTGTAGTGTGGATGGTACTTTCTAGTTGAGATGGTCAACAAAACTTTGATGTTGAGATGGTCATTGTGACTGGCAACTGTAGATGAATAGAAAACCGTTTTAAATGGCAAAATTTAGCCAACGATTTATTTTTCCAGGATGTGTAAGAGCTCTAGACGCAAACACATTGCAATACGAGCATAAAATATAATTGTAATATAAAATTATTTTTATTTATTTATTTATATCGGGGAGCAACAACAGGACAAACCCAATAAAGTTGCTCCACATAATTAGTTATACACAAAAACCTATAAAGTAATATTCAATGTGACTGATGAATGAACTATGAATGTTACAAATAATATGTGATTCATAAAACTAATAAGTTATTATTTTAAATTAACATTATTAAGTTAACATGTTATGCGCAGTCTTCACAGCCTCGCGGATCGCTAACTTAATATTACGTGGGCTACTCGAAAAAAGATCGTATCTCAGCCGATCCGAAGTTCTTTCCATTCTCAGAATAGGTGAGTTACGTTACGATATGCGTTTATTTGTGAAGTGGGCATATAAAAAAGGAAGTCGTACTGTAATTGACGAGGAGGAACATGAAAATCAATTCTCGCCATCAGCGATGGGGAATCAGTGCGACCATTGAGAAGCTTGTACGGAAATAAAACGTCATTATATGCTCGTAGCTGGGAGAGCGTTAGCAATCCAAACATTTCATAACCAGATGCATCATCACTGTACACTTGTTGGGTTTTAATTTAATTTAAACAGTATCTTGAATCACTAGATTACCGTTCTTGTATACTGAGTTGCATTATAATTGAGATTACTCTTTCACCTTTTTTAATCTTAAAAAAATTTAACCTTAATCTTACGTTTCTAAAATTATTTTATGTAAATATTTTTAAATAACTTCGTAAAACTGGTAAAACTTCCATACTTATCTTTTCTTATTTCTGCTATCTATTTAAGAATTACATTTATTCTTTTTTGGATAATCTCAATTATTTCATTTTTTTTAACGAAAAATAAAACTTTAGTGCAATACTTTAATAGTAATCTTTTAACCCACATATTTACATACATATACATAAATCAGTTTATTCCTTATCGTTGAAGAAAATTATAAGTTAACTTCCCACACCAACGTGAAAGCGTACCACATACATTTTGTCCCAAATTCTTTTCAGTCGTCTTCGATTAACCAAAAGAAATCAAAAACAGATTAAACTGCGAGGTTATCTATATATGTATAAACTTTAAACGTTATTCAAACCATATTTTCAAATAAATTAGACCTTTTTTTATTTTTTCCACTTTGATATGTCTCCAATCAACTAAACAAAATCTGATAACGAAACCAATCCATTATATATACGTCAATAATTTCTTGATCGTTTCAATGACTGTTCTGAAACGGTCCGAGAATGATTAAACTCATTTTATTAACCTCGTTAATTGGTAAGTATGATTACAATACATTTTTTACAATTTTTTTTCTAATAATTAAATTTTTTGTTTACAGCACTAGCTCAGGCTAGTGTTGATTGCAAACACAAAAATTATGGTAACGATGGAACCGTTTGTGTTTGCAATGCGGAACATTGCGATACAGTTGATCCATTGGAAAAATTACCATCTGGCCAATACGTTATGTACACATCAAATTTAGCCGGAAAAAGGTTTTTCAAAGAAGTAGCCGATTTTGCATCGACATCCGGTGCTAAAAAGCATGCAGAAATCGATCATTCAGAAAAGTTTCAAACTATTCATGGATTCGGGGGTGCATTCACTGATGCCACCGGAATAAACGCCAATTTATTAGATGCTACAACCAGAAATCATTTAATGAGATCGTATTTTTCAAAGGAAGGTATTGAATACAGCGTTGGAAGAGTTCCAATTGGGGGAACAGATTTTTCAACACGCGGATATACTTATTTGGATACACCAGAACCGGATATGGATTTAGTCAATTTCGCATTAGCCGAAGAAGATGGATTATACAAAGTAAAACATTTTAATTTAATCATTTTAAAAATAATTTTGATTACAATTTCTTTTAGATTCCTTTAATTAAAGAAGCTTTGGAATTGACTGAAAATAATTTAAGTCTTTTTGCTTCCGCTTGGACTGCTCCCAAATGGATGAAAAGTAATGGTGAATACAGCGGAAGTGGTTCTTTGATCACTAAATATTATCAAACTTGGGTTGATTATTTCATTAAGTTTTTCGATGCTTATAAAGAGAAAGGAATTGAATTTTGGGGGTTAACTACAGGAAATGAACCAAGTTTAGCTTTCTTTACTTTTACTGGAATTAATTCAATTGGTTGGTTACCTTGGACACAAGTAAGTTTCTAACAATCCAATTAGTTAATTAGTCCAACTCGGATTAAATAAATTTTATTTTAAAGTCAATTTTATTGATGTTTTTAATATTGAATTTTTGTGGCTTTTTAAGTGGCCACCCATCGGTCTTTATGTCAAAATTATCTTATTAAAGATGACAAGATCTAGTTTGGATTGCGGTAATCCATCAAAAGTTTTTTCCTGTACAACGACACTTGTATTTTGTTTATCGTTTAATTTCGAGTACCTTTTGATTTTTACAACTGATTCATCGCGTAATAATTGATTTATTATGATTCTTTTCTTTTTTTTTGAATAGAATAATTGGATTAAAAACAATCTTGGTCCAACAATCAGAAACCATCCCAGCTATAAAAATTTAAAACTTATCGCTCACGATGATCAACGTATTCTTTTACCTTTGTTGTTTACGGTAAGTAACATTTTTAATTATTATTAACTTTTTTGTAGATGAGTTATTAATATTTACTTTGCATTCTAAAATAGAGGTTGCGGAAATTTTCAGAACATTTTTTCCTAACATTTCTAGTCTTTAAGTAACTTTTGTCCAAACACGTCAATTTAGAGATTTGGAGATTTCATATCTTATACCTAAGAATACGAAATAGTTGAAAAGAAAACGTTTATGGATTATGTCTTTATGATTAATTATGAACAATTTTTATTAATATCATTTTCGTTCACAACTTTTAATTTTTGAGATAAAACATAATGTTGTTGAATGTGTCAAATTTGAAATGTTTTGGCTAGTAAACCCGCTATGTTGGTAATAGTAGTAGTTGGGTTATAAACATTAGTGGGTATAAACCTTTTTTCCTAGCATTTCTAGTTTTTGAGTTAGTATTAAAACTTTCTTCTTAATATTGTCCACAAAAATTAGTCACAATGGTTAAAATCACGATTATATGCCGAACCTCAAGGTCAAGACTACACTGCGTAGCATTGATCTTGAAATTGTAGGAGGAGATTCATCAATCGGCAAATACAAATGAAGGTGAATTTGTAAACTTAACCTTAACACAACCCAATCAACGTGACATCACATATAACCGTGATATTAACCTCAAGAACATTCAAGGTCACACCTCACAACTTTGTCCATGAGATTCCAGAAAACATGCTTGTTTATTTTTTTATTACTACTTGATTTTTTTATTGATTATCTGATACAAAATTTCATTTATTCAGCTTTTTGATGATGTTGAAGCCCGCAGTTACATGGACGGTATTGCAGTTCATTGGTATTGGGATGATTTTGTCCCAGCTCAATGGTTAAGTCAAACACATAATAGATACCCTGATAAATTCATAATGGGTACGGAAGCTTGCAAGGGTGATCGTCCATGGGATGAAGCTGTGTTACCTGGATCTTGGAAACGCGGTCAAGCTTACGCTGTCGATATTATTGAAGATTTGCAACACTGGTCTGTGGGTTGGGTCGATTGGAATATGGCTCTAAACGAAACTGGAGGACCAACTTATATTAATAACAACGTAGACGCTCCAATTATTGTTAATACAACAACCGGAGAATTTTTCAAACAACCAAGCTTTTATGCTATGGGACATTTTTCGAAATTTATTCCAAGAGGATCCATTAAAATTGGTGCTCCAGAAAAATTTAATGGATTACATGTCGTTGCTTTGGATAGACCTAATGATGATGGAACAACTGTTGTTATTATCAATAGGTAGGAAGTTAAGATATTTAAAGTTATAGATTTTAATTTTTTTTAAATTTTAGTGAAGAAAAAGATGTTCAAGTGAGTTTATATGACTCAAATAAAGGTTATATAACAAGAGATATAACCGCAAAATCTTTCAATACAATAGTTTATTGGTAAGATTTAAAAAAGGAAATATCAAAAAAACTATAATTTTTTTTGAAAACATTTTATTCTAAAAAATAAATAAGCAATCATTTATATTCGATTTACTTAATTAATATTCTGAACCTTTATCTTCCTCATAGAGAAAGTAGATTTTTATTGGCCCATATGGAGTTTGAACAATTTCGGTGTGTTTTATCAAAATAATAGCTGCTATTCCGTAAGCTAGACAAGGAATGCCTAAAATATTTTAAAATAAGATAAGAATTAAAAAAAAAGTTGGTTTAGTTTATTTTACCCAAATTGATAACTTTAATCCACCTAAAAAATAAATCTTGGATCAACAAATCTTCGTCGGGCCTTTTCGTACAATGATATTTAATGTAAGGATAACATCCGGTCCTTAAAATGTGATAATTCGATTTTCCGACTTTCCAATTAAAATGAGATTTCCCCCATTGATCATCAATAATACTACTATACTAAAACAAACAATCTTAATTATTAATATATTAACCCCCAAAAAAATTACTTTTATGAAATAAGACGTCCATGGTGGTTCGTTACACTGCGAAATGTAACATGACAACACTTCCGAAGCTTTTGGTTTAGTACGAAACTTTTGAAAGGATCGGTAAAAGAACCTTTTTGTAGTAAGCTGTAACATTTATATACCTAAAAATGAAAATTTCAGAAATAGATAATAATAAATTCAAAGAATTTACGGTTATAAATCATTAAATATATATAAAAAATATCTTAAAAATTAACAATTTAAAAAGGGGATAAAAATGTTTAAATAAAAGGCGTTTTTGAAGGTAGGCAACCAAATATACGTATCAAATAGATGTGTTCCGTAACCTTGATAAAAAATATTAAATTATAGGAAAGAAAATTGCTTACACCTATTAATACAACACTTATAAAGCAGAACGTATAAAAGATTAAGATGTAGAAAAATATGTTGCTTTAAAAGTTTTTTATTCGACGCATGTCACGTTATGGGCAGTTTAGATTGTTTTTTCCTGTTTCTTAACATGTTCCAAACCTTCTTCTGGTGTCCGTAAAGGTCATGTTCAATGTCTGCTGAGAACTTTTCCAATGCGCTCGCTTGATGTATTTGATCTTGTTGTTGACCGCATTTCTTACAGCCTTATAGTCATCTAGTGTTAAGCTTTGGGATCTGTATTTTCAGTATACCTTTCGTGTTTCATTTGCCAATTCTTCGACTTCTTCTGTAAACCATGCTTTCGTATTTGGTTTAGTAGATTTATTAGATATTTTTCTTCGAACGGCCTCTTCGTCGGCCTTGAGTAAATTTGATTTCATTTTTTGTCACGCAGCTTCAACATTATCTGTTTCTAAGATGCGATTACTGTCTATTTTCTTTGCTGACTTTAACGGGTGTTTGTTTCATGATTATTTTAGCCAGTACTAAGCTTCTGGTTGGTTCCAACGTTTGCGTAGGTTAAGACTCTGACATCTTGAATTCTATTCGGATAGATCTTTCTGTTTGTAATTATATAATTAACTCACAGTTATTCGTTAATTGCGAATAACTGAGTTAGCTGTTCTCTGTTTTCGTTGCTAGTTTTTTCATTAAACCGATTTTGTACACCAGGCATCACACTGTCTTCAATTCGGGCATTAAGGTAAAAACCAAACAATGCACTATATAAAGTAACACTCAAGTGTGGAGGCAATGGAGCAAAGACCTGTTTGTTTAGTAACGAGAAGCTAACAATCAAAAAGTGATGGAGGAGGCATCAACGAGCTCTACAAAGAGAAATCACTCTGCTCTGCTATTGATAATTAAAATGAAAATATGTAAATATAATAAAGCAAGAGAAGAAAAACAGCAATGAGATCTCTCTGACAACACACCTCGAGAAGAATCGCTATTCAGTAGCTTGTTATAAATTTCAATTTAATAATAAATTCCACTTTATTTTTAATTTCACAAAAAAGCTAGGACTAACTAGAAATAAATGATATAATTAAATAATTTTTCAAAATTATAAAAAATTCAAATAGTATATGCAATATACTTTTGATTCACCCTATACATAATGTAAACATAGCCACCTGTAACTTTTTATCAAAGATAATCATAGCCACCTTTTTTAAAATATAATTCAAAAACCAAACATTGAATTCAAAAAATTTCTTTTCTATTTATTGTTAATAGAACAACATACGTAATTATAAAAGCTTAGACTACTTCTAAAGCATTCCTACCTCTGCTAAAAAGTGGTGTGGTGGTAAAAGGCCACAAAAGGCACGTTGTGACGTCACACACGCTTTAAGAAACATGGCGCAGCCGAAGTAACAAGTGTCAAAATAGACGAGAAGAAATCCGTAAGCGATTCATTTCGTTTCATTCGGTCGGATGGTTAATGTTAAACGCGTCAATGTTACCGTTATTTTCGCGTGAAATATTTTCGACGTGTTTATCGTCCGACGGAACCTGGAAACAATCAAAAACCGAAAGAAAAACTTTTTTTTACTCTGAATGGTAAATGGTAAAACCAAGAACCGATCAGCAATTGTTTTGTGTTTAGTACTCGAGTTGTGCGTAGGTGTTTAACGGCGTTTTATTTTAAAGGTTATGTTATTTATTGTCTTTTAGAAATAATTAAAAAAGAAATCCAATAACATGAAATAAGTGTATGAAATAACGTTTTCGGTTGAGTTAATTATTAATTTTTCCGTACGAGATGGATGGGATTTGCGAAGAACAAATTATTCCAATTTCTTCAGGTAAGTACATAAATATAATACAATGGGTTAAAAAAGAAACGTTTTCGTAACGTTTACGGCGGTAACATTATTGTTTATATTTTTTATTTCTGTTTTTGAAATGAGAAAAAATTAACTTACCTTACGCAAAATGTATTGTTTGTAAATCGTTGAGACAACGAGAACCAACCCAAAACAAGCTACAATTGTGACGTAACCGTTTTGTAGGTTATAATTTTTGAGTGAGATAAATAGAAAGTCAGTGGTACCAAAACGTATTTCCTAAATAAACAAAAAAATAATTACTCTAAGGGAATTTTTATTGTTCGAACCGGTTTATTAATCGATTTTTAACGCGGAGAAAGGGTTTCCACAAAAAAAAGTATGTGAAATATGCAGATACGACATGTGTTCAGCGTGGGGAAACACAAAAGGATCTGGTTACTGTTAATACATAGATACTTTGTTACTCTAGGTGAACGGCATTCTAAAGAAAATAATTTGAAAATGAAATTAGAATGGATTTTATCAAAAAGGGGTTAAGTAACACATTTTTAAAAAGTCAAAAGTTTATTTGTGCAACTTGAGAAAACTTAGCAGCAAGATCTGCTGATAATCTTCGAGGCATGGAATTAACTTACATTACATAAATTATGTATCGGGTATGCGACCAACCTACCTTACACCGCGACCTCAAAGATCCATTGTACTCCGATAGATAACATTATCAAGTTTCACCGTGCAGTCCAATGCTCTTAATGGGCATTAATGCCTTACTCGGTGAAGTCATTCAGATCCTTTGGGAAGATAAACTGTGACCCAAAAATCGAGAATCTGATACGATTAATAGCAAGGCAGTGGCATAAAAAAATGCTCAACCGTGTCCTCGTCCTTCGCACATAGTCGGCATTCAACATCATCGGCTAGGCCCAACGAATTGAGGTGTGTTTAATCGGTAGTATCCAGTAAAGACACCCATTAGAACTTTAATGCTGCTACGAGTAAGTCTTAAAATATTCCCAGGTTTAACAGTGGCGATGTTAATAAACAACTTAGCGTGTGGCATTCTTTTGCGATCAAGAAACTTCCATACGTTGTGCTCTATGGGGTTGAAGTTATTTAGCGATCTTATATAGTATCCATATGCTCAAGATCATTATCCTGCTGAAATATTCGTTGTGATTTCAAACTTTATTTAGTGATTGAGAGAGAGAGAAAACAACGTTTATTCACGCCAACAAAACATGTTGGCTCAAAAGGGCTATCGACCGTAGTCTTTCTACCCGGGATAGAATTTGCTTGAGTCTTGGATCTTGAATTTAGTTGCGTTATAATTTTCGTAGGAGATGAGTAGGGAGTGGTGAGAATATTGGAGATATGACCGTGGATTGGATAATTACGGTGGGATAGGGAGCATGGATGGGAAGAAATGGAATGAAAAATTGGGTTTTGGAAGGGTTTGGAACTCAAATTTGGAAAATTTGAGTTCTCCATTTTTGCAGCCAGTTTTCTGTTGATTGGATCAGCGCCTGCAACCTGTGCACTGCGGATACGATGTTTGCGCCGTGTGTCACCAAGGTGGTGTCGTTTAGTGACTGATTTTATTAAACCATTTTTTATGTCTTTTAGTTATCTCGATAAATACTAAATTTCCTATTCCAGCCCCTGACTAAATACCATCACGTTTCCCCTGCCAGTTTTCATGGTCCTCCTTCATTTCTGCGACTCTTAATGCGCTCTTTGCAGGTTTGTTTGTGTATTTTTGCGTATTTCAAAGCCTTATTTCCTTTTACGTATTTCATTATTGAGTAATTTGGCGAAACACTATCTCGTATTCAGCCTGACATTGTGGACGCTTTATTGATCTGACTTCTCAGGTTCTCTGCGGGATTGTGAGTGCTTGAAATGTGGACATCCAAGTAGGAAAATTCGATGACTTGTTTGATGGAGGTGTTGTTGACTACCACCTTATATCTTGTGGCTCCCTTAAAGTAGAGGCTGGTCTTCGCTCTCTTTATAGAACCTGTGTACTTGTTTTAGCTGGTCATCCTTTGTGAGTTAGCGATTATCGTCAGCGTAGTATATTAGGCAGGTTTCCTTTTGGCCCATTTTGTTTCTGTTACCCCCTTCACCCACCTGAGTGTAGGAATTCTTTGTGTACAGTTTGAATTACATAGTAATTGGTTTTTGCAACAAGCAGTTATTTGTGGTATTTTTGAATTATAATGGTACAAAAGTTAGTTAGCAGTTAATCTGCAGATTAAAAATGAAACATACAGGTAACTAATTATTCGTCTATCTCCGTCTGTCTCATACAAGAGTAAGCAAGGATGGTGACCGATAGACGGATGCCGTGAATAAATTCGCTGGCATCGGTGAAACGGCGACCGACAGGCGGACGCACTCTCGAATGAGTTAATTCCTGTTAGTGGGTTCCAAGTGTTACACCTTGACTTATATTGACGATTAAACTTTAGCTAATCACCAATAAGAATTAAGTTCAATTTTGTATTGACTCATTTATGCCATTTGACAGCTTCGATCGATTTTGTTCAATTTATTTATGATAACCTGTGTAATCGGATATACATTGTAAGACTTTTCTTTGATCTCTCTGTGTGATCCGTTATTGTAATTGATATATTAATTTTGATTGAAAATCGGTTAATCTGCTTCTTTCATATTGGTACCGTTAGTTTTTCTATTCTTCATTAATTATTTACATCCTTAATTGGATAATGTAAATTGGCCGATACACTTGAACCTCTTCAAATATTGTTTGCGAGTTGGGTTAATACCTTTGCGTAGTGCTGCGACAACAACCAAATAATAATTTTTGGGTGTAATTGATAACAATTTCATTTAAATTTAATTTCGATCTAACATTTTTTTGTTATGCAATTAACCTTTCTTTGAAAACGTTTTTTGCAAAATAACCTTTGTTATCGTTTTATTGAATAAGTTCCATAATTTTTTTTCCGCGCAATACATTTATGGGGAAATGGCTTAAATAAGTGAGCTATTGATTTGAGTAAGAAAATTATTGGATATGAATGAACTATTGATATGAAATTGTATTTTTTTTTATGTTATAGTCGTAACTGATTCTATGTTACATCAAACTAACCTTTAATTCTCAAATCAAAAACAGAAACTAAATAAATTTTTATTTTTATTTGTAATTTGCGCTCCTATATAAGGTTAATAACATCATAAATATTAAATCATCTGATAATTATTAACATTAAACAAAGAGTGTGAAAAAAACTAAAGTATATTAGTAGGAGAAAACGGTTACTGGAAGCATAAAAATGTGTATGTGGATCATGAAAAGCGTCCGTTAGATTACGTCTAGACAGTTACAACTTCATTATTAATGCGGTTTCCTTTACGTAGGGTCAAATACCTCCCGTTTAACCAATAAACAAACAATTATTATCCAACGTACTTATTACGTGATCATTAAATTGTTATCTATCTATTTCTGTTTTAAAAAAAGATACAACTCGTTTTAATTAGAACTCATTTCCAAGTCATAAATTAAATTGTTTTCTATTGATAATGTTTTTCTTTTTTTTAGGAATTCTTTTCTATAAATTTATTTATAGGTGAATTTCGTCTGGTTATTTTGAATGAAATAAAAAGTACTTCTGGTGGTTGTTACTCGATGGTGTCGCTCTTGGTTTGTTGAGTTGGTGGTGAATTTAGCTACGGGGCGCCGCCGTCGTTTTAGGGCGCAAGCGTCTGTAATCGATTCGGCGTCCCGACGTCGGGCATCTCCCAGGCATCGGCGGGCCAGTAGTGCCTGTACCTCCGGGGGCGGCGTCCGTTCACATGGTAAACGCCTCGCCCATCAACTAGCACAACAGGTACCCCCCATTATAAGCCTGAAAAATTTTCAGTTTAAACCCCGATACCAAATGTTATTACTTATTGTTCTTTTTTGATTAATATTGATAGGGTTTTATTTAGTTATTGGTGTTTATTCATGTCTTTTTGCGTGTTAATCTCTGGTTTTTTAAGTTTTTTTATTTTATATTTATGGATTAATTTAATCTCTTTAGGTTTTTTTTGGTGTTGTTCTTGTTATTGATGTACTACATTTTTAAATTTTTCAACAGGTTGATAAATATAACGGTGGCATCTCTTTTGAGCTTCCACTTTTCGATAGTTGAGTGTGCATGTAAAACCCTGTTGAGCGAGATGATCTCTCGCGGGATTAGCAGATATAGGAGGTGTTCTTGACCCACTTCACTGAGAACACGTTCTAAATTACTGCAGTAAAACAAAAAAAAACTATTTTAAGTATTACTAATTCAAATACCTTATAAGCTTCTTTTTATTACAAAAAAACCTGGAAATGTTCATAAATCTATCTATTTTTTATCATTTAATGATTCATTGCACGATCAACTTGTTATACATACAGGAAAAGAAGAAAGACAAAAAAATGTGGTTGATCCCGTTCGCACATTCCGTTTAATACACGGTATGCATCATAACCAGGTCACGTGTTTACCTTTTAATTCGGTTAAAGTATAGTTCATTTTGTATAGTTTGAGGTTATTTATGAATACATAAAACAATTTAATTTATTTACTAAAAAATACAATATAAGAATACAACGATTCTTTTTAAATAAGAAGTCACATAATAACTGTAAGAAGTAAAGAAATGTTGGACTATTCATTGTTAATAATTAATGCCTATTTTTTAGGCATTCTATTTTATACTAAAATCTAGTCAATTCTAAAACTATATTCTGAAATTGTTTTGTTTCATTCATAATATTAAGCCTATCTACTCAATGTGGAATATTAACATTAACACAAGTATACACGGTTTCGGACATGAGCCACCAAATGTTATTTTTAAGGTAATTAGGGTTGCTGAATCCGAATCTACAGAGTATGTCTTGTGGATTTACAAGGAATTTACATAGATCTTTGATCTTGGCCATGATTGTATGCATTGTGTCGTATCATTCCTTTGTTTACACTACTTGAACAACTGGAATCGTTGGTTGGAATAGATTTTTTTATTTCCAATGTGTAGCACAGCCTTTTTTCTCCTCAACACCTCTTGTTCGCAGTTCTTTTTTTTTTTTGTTTTCTTCTTGTTTCTTGTTGTTCTGTTGTGGTGTTTTTTCTCCTGCTGCCGTGGTGCTTGCAGCTCTTCTTTTTTTTTTTTTGATCTGCTGTCATGGCTTATCTCATTTCTTTGTTTACTTGTTGGTTTCCTTCCATGACAAAATCACTTGTTGACAGAGATGTAGTCGAACTTTGCTGGGAACTTACACCGGGATAAACTGGTAATGGGTCAATACTCCCTATGAGATTTGTATTGTGCTACTTTTCTTGCATTGATGACGTTCATCAAGCAAAAGTGGCAATCCTCTACATGATTTTTTCTCTCCATATTATTGGCAATAAAAAAAGCTTTGTTCTGGACGAATTCAAAACAGCATAGTTATTATTTTGTCACCATTTTTTCTAAATTCATGTTTACTTTTTGGCAGAGTGACAGTTTAAAACAATTTAAAAAACTCAAAATCCAGAACCAATCATGTCAAACGGATTAAATATTCTGCTTCAGCGCATCAAATTACGTTGAGATTCATTCTCATCTGGTTGAGTCCAAAAGTTTATCGGAATTTGTAAACATGTGTAGTTAATTTAAATATCTATTTCAAAGTCGTCTTTAATTTCCTTACTAATTATTATATAAAATTTATAGTTCTTAAATGGATAACAATAGCCGGATGGAAAAACGCTTGTTCTTCTCGCGCGAGGATATAACGGAATATATCCGGCGTTTTTGGTAACGGTATATAAAAGAATACGTGAAAATTCTTTCTTTTCAACATTAATGGGAGAATGTGAAAAAATGGAAAGAAACCAAAAAATGAAGGCTAAATTTTGGTTGTCGTTTGGTTAATTTTGGAAGTTAATAATAAATTTTATTATCTTTTAACGTAAAATGCGCTGAGAACGGAAGTTTTTTTTACATTTTAACCGAGCTGTGATAAACAAACTCGTTTTTATAGGTTTCATGTCTTAATAAGATGATGATAATTTTATAAATACGAAATATTTTTGTTAATTAAAGACTAAACTAAACTGAACTTAATATAAATTTAAAATTAAACCACTCAGAACGATTATTTTACCACAATTCCACCACACATTTATTTTTGTCCATTCAAGTCTTCTACGTTTTACCCAGAACTCTAAAATTAGAACATTTTCCAGAAATTTTTGTGTTTTGGCTATAATCGTGTTGTTCGTTTTGAGTTGTAGAATTACGAATGTATTCGGTGCATTTCAATGAATTGAAACCCACATTTTTTACAATTTTATTTAAAAAAAAAAATAGTAAATTTACCGAAGCATAACCGCAAAATACATTCAACTCAAGAATTTTTTATTCGTTGTTTTATGTGGCGGTATTAGCAGGTGGAAGTTTTGCACCGGAAGTCGTTGTTTTGTGTGCATAACGTGGAACCATCAACGAGATTGTTTCGCTTTTCTAGGTTTTCTAAAAACTTACAGTTCTAATTTTAAATGTAAATGTTATTTTGTATTTTTGCTGTTTAACATGTTGATGTTAAAAAAATTAATTATTATAATAAAAAGAATGCTGCATACAATTTCGTCATTATTTTATTTTCATTTATATAATTTTTTTGTTTTTTGAATGATTCTTTTAAATAATTGATTTCAAATACATTTTCTTTGCAGATTGCAAATCGAATTAAATTGGTTTCTATTATTGTATAAAAACGTTTGTTATCCCATTCTTATCTTATCTGAAAAAAAATCTTGGATCATCATTTCAATTTCATAGAATGTTATCGTTTTGATCACACACGTTTATTTACACATACAGTTTATTTTTCGTTTTAACGTAGCTTCAAGAGTGTTTAAATAAAAGACTTTATTTTTTTCTTCAAATTCTCGAAATTGACGTCAAAGGAAATGCTTCCCGTATCTTTCCTTCAAAATGTACCGGATTTTCTCCAGATACATCGTTCACTATTTTACAAATCATACCGAAAATCCACTAACATATTCCGAGGTAAGAATCTTATTAAAACAAAATAAAAAATATATTTTCTTCAATTAACTTAAATTCCTTTGCGACAGATGCAAGTCTTCAATCTAATTGTAAATTATAAATAAGCCGCTACGAAAGTGCGTAATTATCTAATTTTAGAACTTGTTGTTCGGCGTTATGTGTGGGTTGTTTTAAGATTTTTTTTTCTTGTGTTTTTACGAAGATCTTTGTATTGACGATGATGTTTTGTATCGTATTTTCAGATGAGTGCGGACAAAGTGGTGGAGAACCGGACAGTGACGAAGACGTCATCACGGATTACCACCTGGACATGTTGCCCAGGCCAGGACCACTTCCTACCATAAGCGTTACACCACATTCACCGGCAAACAAAACTTATCCGGTGCTGGAAGACAGTTTACAATATGTCAGGGAAATACATGAAACGGTTCAACGTATGCGAGATGCAACAGTACAGAGTAAGAAAAATAATTTATTTTTTATTCAAAATTTCTTTAAAATGAGCTCAAAATACTGCTGTTACTCCGAATCCGAATCTTTTTAGGTACAAAATGTTTTGATGTTATTTTAACAGTTTTGTACAGTTCTAGATTCCAGCTAATCGATGCAAAATACTCATTAATTTCAAGAACATCCAGATTAAAATACAAAAGCTACTATAGTTACATTTACTATAATTAAGAAAAAGTTTATGTTTTTATTACTTCATTTTGTTTTTATAACAATAACAATTAACGTAAAAACTAACATATGGAATATCAAAATAATATTTGTGATTTTATCTTGTATTTGAGCTCATTTTAAAGATCTTTTACACTTGTTTTTATAAATCAATGGAATGATTATTATAAAAATAAGTTACTTAAGAAAGAAACTAGAATAGGCGTATTAGTAAATTTATGAGAATGTTTGTTAACGTATCTATTTGAACATTGGCCAACAAGTAGCCTCGTACACTGTTTATATACAGAGTGTTTATTTATGTAACGGAAATACACTGGGACGGTAAAGTTCAAGACGAGAAGAAGAGTCGCGCGGTTGAGTCAATAAAATTAAAATTACACCTTTTTTTCTTTCTTTCAAACGATTCCTTTTTTTTGTAATCCCCATTTCCGCTTGAATAGACTTGTTTGTTTCATTCATTTCCATTCGATTTTATTTCTTTGGTTACACTCTATATATCTTTTTTGTTTTTTTTTTTCACATTCATTATTTTTTTCTTATTTGTAGGCAATCCATATCAGTCTCATCACACAAAAGACTTTGCGAGCGCCTTAAATCCGCTACTGGCACAAGTTGCGAGATTGAGCGCGAGTTGTCCCGTTCTTAATGAAGCCGTTCCCGAATTGGAAGTGCTCGGGGGTTCTTTAGGATCGTCACCACTTCACCAGTTACCCAGTCGAAAGGGAAGCGGTAAATACTCATACAGTTAATTATTTTTCTTGTTAAGATACTTAAAATCACGTCAAAGGTTAATGAGGAAACTTTTTTCCGTTCGTTTTTCACATTTAATTCCTTTCTTTCTCTTTGTTATATTTAGGCACTCAAGACTTTTTATGTCAACCTGATCCTCAAAGAAGACGATCATGGACTGCTCTCGAAGATCTTACCGGAGCCAAAGACAAAATCAAACCTGGCAGGCAGCGGAGGTAAATTAAAACTTTTTTATTATTATTTTTTAATTGATTAATTTATTTTATTGTCGTTTAAAGTATATCATTGAGCAGTATGGAATCGGAAGCGGACGAATCTTCACTTATAGATAATGTGGATGGAAGAGCCCGTTTATTAGGAACTGATCCCGTTATTGTTGGTAGAAGAGCAAGAACTGAGCGAAATGGTGGAGCTAGTACACATTCATTAAATGAAGCAGATTTACAAGTAAGATTTTTTTTTATTTTGTTTTTCGTTTTTGATTGTTCCTTTTTGATGTTGTTTTAGAATGACTTCAATAAAATTAAAGCAAAACGTGAGGCTGAACAACTTAGATTGTTACCGGCTAGATTACCGCTGCAAAAATCTGTTTCAACACCATCAATCATCGCCGTTAGAGATTTGGCCCCGGAGCCAACACTCAGTGGAGCGCAACCTACACTTCCGATGTAAGTTATCCAAAAAGAAATTATCACTTTCCTTTTAGATTTATGTTGTATGTGTTGTCTGCTTTTAATTATTTAATTCACACAAATCATTCTTAGTAAAACAATTTTTGAAAATTATAGTTATTAGGTAGAATTTATATGTTCAATCATTTAAAAACTCTAGAAGACCATTTTTCCATTTACACCTAAGTAATTAGCTTCAACCCTGGCTGCTATGAGGAGTTGAAAATTATTGTATGATTTTTCTAAATTCAGCAAATACCCGCTCATTGGAAGTCCATCTACTTATAGGGCCAAATGCAACTTTAGCTTTGCATAGAGTCGAGTTGGTCTTTTTAACCTATCTATTTCATATACATAAATGCCTAGTTCAGTTTTATTTATCTCTATAAAAAATGTCACTAATTTCCAATTGGTCAGTTATAAGTTGTTATAACAGCCTATATTAAACCATGTATCCTACTTATTTTAGCTCAAACCCATTTATCTTTGGGTAAATGTTACTCCAACTTTTGCTGAGCGGCATGTTATGACTAAATTAAAAAAAAAGGAATAATATGTTACTCTAGAGTTTTTTTTATTGAACATATCAGATTTTGAAATATCTTAAAAATAGTTTTTAGCATGATACTTTTTTTAATGACCAATTCAACGTCGAATCTATGAAATTAAAACAGGTATTACGAAAAAAATAAAACATTTTCGATTTATTCAAAATTGATCATCTCATTTTTTGCACATTGTGTATAATATTTATTTTATTTTTGTTGTTATAAATGTACCTCTAACAACATTTTACCAAGCTAGAGTATAGTGCATGTGCTTAGCTTCGTGTCTAGGGGCCGTCCTAGCGGAACGGAGAGTGAAACGGAAGAAGAGGGCAGTAGGATCGGTCGCGTACGTTACGACGGCCACCCAATCGCGCATCTTCACCAGTAAGTACAAGAATTTAACCATCCGGCACGTGCTTGTCGCATGTAAACGTGTGACGCACTTTTAATTCTAATTTTCTTACTTTTTTAAGCTTTTTTGTTTCATTGCGTTTCTACCGGAAACAATGCCTTAAAAAACTTTCCTTAAAATACTTCTTTCAATCTTTAACAATTTCTGACTGTTTACAGTTTTCTTTTAAATTATTTTGGTATATTCTGAAAGTAACCTCGTGTTTAGATAATATCGTTTTGATTTCTTCATTCTTTTAATTGTCTTTAGAAAAGCATTGTTTCTCTAAAATAGATTAAAGATTTAAAAGAAATCGTTTTTGGGTAATTCATTTTGATTTAACCTCTTTACTTTTATTATTTAGTGTGGATTACAATCATTCTGAGAAGAGACGGAAACGTGGTAGTTTATTCTTTAGAAAAAAGAAGGTAATAATGAATTTTCTTTAAAGCGAATTGTTTTTTTATTAATTACTAATTATCTTTTCTTTAGGATAAAAGCAAAAAATTAATTTCCCATCAGTGGGTGTCCGGATGCTACAGTTCTTCTAATAATTGTGATTGGTGCAGTAAACCACTAAGCAATAAACCTGCGCTTTATTGTGAAAGTAAGATCATTAAAACAAGAATCATAAAAAGACTTAATTGAAACGATTTTTTCTGTATTTCCATTTCTTTTTAAGATTGTAACACAACCGTTCATCAAAATACTTGTAAGGACAATATAGTTGATTGCAATAAACCAAAAAATTCCAAGGTAAATATTATTCAGGATAAATACATTAATTTGTAACATTTTCAATTTATAGAATGCTCCTAAAATGACTAGTTTTGGTGTCCAATTGCCGAATTCAAAACAAATAATTGCCAAAAGAGGTTCCGGATCACTTCCAACAAGCCAAACCAGCTCAAACAGGTAAGTTTTTATTTCAAAAAGTGACTACGATCAACCATAAATAATATATTGAAAAAGATGTGAAAACATAATAATTTCGTGTGTTTCTCAATTGTAATTTCCGGGTGGATATTAATGTTTGTTTTCGGCTGGTTTTGTTTACGGGAAACAAAATGAGTATTTTATTTTTGATTAATTGATTTGAGTGTTTTTTATTTTTTTTTGTTGATTATTTAGGGTGTGTAGATTAAAAACACGTTAAAAATTTGTGTTCAATGTTTAGTCTTTGTTTTTTTATTTGGTCTCTACGTATACATACTCTTGGAAAACTACTGTATTTACTTGTTTATTACAGATTTAGAACTTTTCAACGCAATCTTACGATTAAACTACACATAAATATACTTTTTAATTTTTTGCATGTACAAAAAACACTTTTTTAAAAACTTCTTGACATTCTTTTGTTACACTACATAAATAACCAGAAAATAAGAACTAATATTGATCAATGAAACACACACACACACATATTTTTGTAAATACTACAAAACAAAGTAATAAAATATGAAAAAAATAAACTTGAACTTAAAATCCTTTGCTTGGCTTTACTTTGATTGATCTATTTCTGTCGGTGTGTCTTTCCTGACCCGTTTCTTTGTGTTCGGCTTGCTTTGTAGCACGTAATTCTATAAACTATTTACCTTTATTTACGGTATGATGCGTTAGGATTTGTGCGGAATTATGCGTCTTAAAAAAATCAAACTGCAGAAATTTTTTTAAATATTTTTTTATAACATGTGTATTAAGAAACTCATTATTGGTCGTTTATACGCAATAATAATTTAGATATTTTATTAATACACACGGTATAAAAAATGTTTATTTAGTTTTCCTTTTAGTATAAATTTTGTAAATAAAATTAGAGATTTAAATTATTAGTGTTATTTTCTGTTCTTTTTTTATAATAGAAAAAAGTAGTAAAATTACAGAAAGTTTCTGCATGTTTGACAAAGTGTCGTGTTCACGTAGATGTGTTTCTATACGTATTTAAAACTTCTTTGATCGTAGATGATATTTATTTATTTATTTTTATTTTTGGTAGATTTTTTTATTAATTATTTTGTTAACTAGGTCGTTACAAAACAATATTAAAATTAAAAAATTTACGTTGGACACGATACATGTTAAGGATAACACTTTACCTTTTACCCCAAAAAAAATACTTTGTACGTGTTTTTTGATCGAAAAATATCTCTTTTTATATTAATGCGTGTAAAATGTAAAGTGAATTTGGGATATTAGAGGGTGGTGTGGCTAATCTGTTGCCTGTTCCCCGCCCCTTCCTTCTAGGAGGAGTCAGCTGTGCTACTCGCCTTGGCGCAGGGTCGCCACCAAACTGGGAGTTAAGTAAGTCCCTGTACCCCTTCAACAATTAAAAAAAGTAAAAATAAACAATAATAACCTCATTCTCCTCTTTCTTCTTTTTTGCAGTTCGTTGTCTGCAAAATTTTTTGCGAATTTTTTCTTCCTCCACTTCTTCTCTTATTACACTCTCACTATTTTTGTGTCCGCTATCAGCAAGCAGTCGTCAATATTTTTTTTGTTTGCTTCAATAAGTTATTTTTTACTTATTTTTTTAAATTTATGTAATATACAGGTGTTCCATTTAAAAATTGATATTAAACAACAATAACTAATTGATATAAAACACAAAATAAATTTGAATTAAAGTGTTAGCGTCTTTCTCAACTTCAGTAAATACTAGTTTTGATCCTTTATGGTTGATTCGTCGGAAAAAGACACACTGTTACAAAACCTCTAGAAATTTCTAAATTTCAAAAAAAATTGTACAGTAGCCCCACAGATGATGATGATCTATGATGATGATATGTTCTTCGGTCCAGCCCAGTGCCATCTGAGTCTGGCAATGCGAGAAATGACGTCTGTAATACTGTGATACTCCGAGTATTGATCTTTCCATTTTACGCTATGCTGTTCTAACCCTGTTGGCAGATGTTATGGTCAAAGTCAGTGTTTCTGCCCTATAGATCATGATCGGCAGCACGCACTGATCGAACACTTTTCTTTTTAGACATATTGATAGGTTGCTCTTAAACACATCTCTGAGTTTACCATATGCTGCCCATGAGAGGATGTCTCCATGTAGAAATTGCCGATTACAGATGTCAAATGGCTGCCCTTTTGCATTGTGCAATACACCACTAGCACTGGAACATACTTCGGTAAGCTCTGCGTGATCAGTTTCTGGCGAAGATCATCCACGGCATCTTTGACTAGTACTCTGGTAATTAGAGATTGCACATCGAAAGTTACCAGGATATCATGGGGATCTAACTTCACAGTTTTCATTGATTCCACAACATGCGTAGAATCTCTGACACATGATTCCGTTATTCCTGTAAAAGGAAAGAATCTTGGTAAGGTGTTTCGCCAACTAATACACTTGTAGCAGAATTTATGGCACATACAATGGGGCAACAATGAAACCAATCTTACATTTCTTTTTCTGTTAATTCTTCAAATTTTAAACGTTTCAGTTTGGAACTAGTCTGATAATTTAAGATATATTAATTTTGACTGATTTCATATTTTCATATAAAAAAATCCTTTTTTAAATGCAACACACTGTATTTTATTTGTTGTATATTTTTATATTTAATGATGCATATTTGCTATTATAGGGCTGTAAAGTTCTCAATCGGTTTCATTAAATTTGTTTTGGATTTTCCAATTTTTGCTCTTGTTCTTAAGGTAGACAACGCTTTTTATTCTAGGTTTTGTTTTAATCTAGTTTATTTTTTGATAACACAAACAGGATTGATTACATGCTTACAAACTTCCACCATTACAATCACATTCAAAATTGACACCAAAGACTTGTTATTTTTGTATTTTTTGATTGTATTGTATTTAGTAACGATGGAGGTCTGTGAGAAGAATTTTCTGCAACCCAATTTTTTCTATTCAACTTTTTTTTTTAAGCTAACAGGAGTGGCACCGCTTCTACTTATGTTAGAACCCCACCAAAAAATCCTTTAGATAATTTTTAGCATGTGCTGCTAAAATAATTTTTAACAATTCTACCTATATTTAAAGTACTTTTTTCTTCTGTCTGGAATAAATTCACATTTACGGCAACATTTTTTATTAATTTTTTTAAATAAAAACTTCATCAATCACTGTTATTGTTCCTGTTTTTGTGAATTATCTAAAAAACGCTATCGCTAACTCACTATACCACAACAAAACCGTGTGCTCTAATACTATCACAACTATTACCGTCTTTATTTTGTTTCTCGAACCGTTTTAGTTGTTCAAAAAAATGTACTTTTGTTTCGATCTGATTCATTAATTATTTTCCAGCCAAATTCTTTCGGACGAAAAAGAAACCGATCATGGTCATCACGACACTACAGTGTAAGCCAATTTTTGAACCATCTTTGATTAATATAAAACAAACCATTTCTTATTTGTTACCTTTTATATTTTAGTTTTGCGGATGATGTTCCTTTAATACAATTAGAATTTTTATCTGATACTCCATTGACTGCAGCAGATTTGTGCACTGATTATAGTTTAGGATTACACGAGAGCGAACCTGATTCTTGGACGCCACACGTCGGCAAAGAAATCGCTAAAAAACTTAAAGAAAAAGAAGTTAAAAGACAAGAACATATTTATGAATTTATTTTGACTGAAAAACATCACTGCATGACATTACTGGTGATGCAAAAAGTTTTCGTTGAAGGTTTAAATAAATACTTCCAATTAGGTGCAAATCTAGAACGTATGTTCCCGAGATTAAACGATTTAATTGAGATGCATTTAGCGTTATTATCAAGATTACGTCATAGACAAAGAGAATCTCCAATAGTTTCAACCATAGCTGATATTTTACTTGAAGTTTTTTCTGATCACCATGCTTATAAACTAAAATCGGCGTATGGAGAGTTTTGTAGTAGACATAGAGATGCTGTTGAGTTATACAAATATTATTTTCATAACGATGCGAGATTTTCACAATTTGTAAAACATTGTCAAACAAATCCTTTGTTAAAAAAGAAGGGAATCCCTGAATGTATATTATTTGTTACACAACGTTTAACAAAATACCCTTTATTAATCGAACCTTTAATTAAAACAAGTAAAGATAATAAAGAAGAACAAGAATCTTTACAAAAAGCTTTGGGTTTAGTTAAAGAAATTTTGATCGAAGTTGATTCTCAAGTAGCGGAGAAAGAAAAAGAAGACAGAAAAATTGAAATTTATAACAAAATTGATGCAAAATCGTATACGGTTCATAGAGGTTTGAAATTTAAAAAATCCGATATTCTACAAGGAAACAGATCGTTAAAATTCGAAGGCGTTGCTATGTTAATGCAAGGAAGAGGAAAAATGCAAGTAGTTTTAGTAATTGTTCTTTCTGATGTTTTATTCTTCTTACAAGAGAATTCACAAAAGTATAGTTTTTTTACGCCCGATAACAAAGCTGGAGTAGTTTCTTTACAAAAATTATTAGTGCGTGAAAAAGCCGGGCAAGAATCAAGAGGGATTTATTTGATTTCATCGAATCCTGCTGATCCAGAAATGTTTGAACTAAAAGTTCATAAACCTAAGGATAAACAAATTTGGATATCAGCTATAAGGTAATAACGTTTAAAAATAGTATTTCTTTTATTATATTTTCTTTTTGATTAATATAGAGCTGCTGTTCAAAGTTGTCCAGAAGACGAAGAAGAATCAATCGCTTTGAGTTCTGAGGAGAAAATGTTGAGCGCCAAACAAAATCAAATTAAACATTTAGTCGGTAAGTTATTCATTGATTTTTCTTTATAAAACATCACAAATAATTAAAAAGAATAAAATAATGCATGTCTAATACTTAACTATCAACTTCTTATTAAGTAACGAAATAAATTGTGATGTCCTTGTTATGGTATCTTTGGTGATAAAAATGTTGTTGTTTCATGTGATAGATGACGAATCGGATATTAAAGGTAACTTTCAATCTTTGAACATGAAAAAGCCTGCTGTTTCAAAGAAATTTCTTTTCACATATGTTTTGCATGGTTAAAATCAGAACTTTAGTTTATATATTTTTTAATTAAATTAATTTAATTGTTTTTCTTCCATTAATTATTGCGTTGCAAACGATTTTTTTGTATGAATTGTAATCAATTGAATCAAGACATCTTTATTTTTATGATTTTTATGGTTTTTTTTACATAAAACACTTTATATCTCGAGAATGGTTGGTGTTACAGCTTTTAAGTAAAAGTATCTTTTTTGTGTAAAATACACCAAGGAATTCAAAAACATACTTGAAATTGAAATTAATACAACATTACAGAAGTTACAATCGATTGAATCAAAGCATCTTCATTTTTTAGACTTTTTATGACTTTTCCACAAAACTCTTCATATCTCGGGAATGGTAGGTGCTACAGCTTTTAAGTAAAAGTATCTTTTTTGTGTAAAATACATCAAAGAATTCAAAAACATACTTGAAATTCAAATTAATACAACATCGCAGAAATTACAATCTATTGAATTAAGACATCTTCTTTTTTTAGACCTTTTATGATTTTTTAACAAATCACTTTTATATCTCGAGAATGGTTCAACAACAAGCAATTTCCGTGTAATTGTCCAAAAAGTGCATGCATTTCTGTTATAAAAAACTAACATATTAGTAATGTCTCATTTTCTGAATTAGTAAACAGGCGTAGGATGAAATTCAACCAGAACATCTGGTTTTCGTTTGCGGACATATTTTAAAGCATGTACTACGGCAGTAAAGTGTCTGTTTCGTGCATGTTTTGGATGCTCCTTTTTAGTTTTAATTTCTTTTACATACAAATTTTCATTATTTTGTAATCCACACTTATTAGTGAATAGATAATTTCTTATTTCATGGCTCAACATAATTTTCCAGGTTTATTAAGACAAAAAGACGTCGAACAAGCTCTCCTATTAGAAGAAAAAATGGCTCTCCAACTTCGTCTTTTAGAAATTGCAGGATTAGAGCCTCCATCACCACCGTCTTATCGTCATTTAGTTAGCGAGACTGCAGATACTAGTCAAATGTGGAAAGAAGTGCTGACAGCGGTTCAGGTAACAAAATCGATCAAACAAAAATTCCTTATCTATTTTTCTAATTAAATTATTAGGAAGTCAGTCAATTGGCTAGTAGCCTTTACACAACCGGTACAAATTTATCAAGAAGTGTAAGTTCAGCGGGAGAACATCACAGTGAAACTTACGTTTCACCAATTCTTCCTAAAAGAGCCGAAACTTTCGGTGGTTTTGACAATCCTCAAGCACCCATTAAATTGTTAGGGAAAAAATTAAATTCTTCAAGTGGAACTCCAGCTGGAACGCCAGACTTGGAGAACCTGCGCCCAGGTGATAGTAAATTATTTGAACGTCTCCCCTATAGAAACTGTGTTATTTCAACTCCACCTTTAACAAACGGTGGTGTTCCTAGTTCAGATCAACATTTAGCAGCTCCCGATATTCCTGCATTGTTGTCATTAGGAAGAGAACAACAGTACGCCGCTGTTCAATTATCACATTATGTTTATAATTTATTATGTATTATTTCACAACTAATGACTACAAATGAATGTTTACAAGCTCAAATTTCCACAATGAGAGGTGGGGGTGATTCAAAATATAAACACAATCAACAATTGGAGGAGTTAAGAAATCTACAAGATAAATTAACAGCGGAAAAAGCAGCTTGGAACGCAGCTAGAGATCAAGAAGCAAGAGAATTAGAAGAGAAAAAAAGCGAATTAGCTAAGTTGCAAGAACAAATTCGTGCTGAACAATCGGATATAGCACAACAACGCGAACAACTCTATCGAAAAATGGAAATTTTAACCAGTCAAGGTCTTTTAATTTCGCCAAACGTAGCTTTACCGGTTGCGAGTCAAGTTGATGATAGCAGCAATCAAAGTTCTGAAGAAAGTAGTCCTCAATCGGATAGCGCTTTTGTGACTACGACATCCAGCGCGAGTAGCACAACCTCTCATTCTACTGCAGAACGAAGAAAAGATAGTAAATGGTCAAAAGGATCGACCAGTTCATCAAAATCTCAACTTCCTATTAATTTAATTAGTACAACTAATCAACAGAAAGTTTCTCAAGTTCCAATTAAACAACAAATTCCTCTTAAATTAGCTTCTAGACTTAGTACAGGTAGCACTAGCTCTTCAGCATCTTCCATTGGACCACAACAGATGTTACCTTTAAAATTAAGTCAAGAGGAAAAAGTTAGAAGAACTAGTTCTGGTTATCAAAGATTAGGTTCTGATAGTTTTAGTCCTACTTCAGGAGAAACTGTAAGTTACTAAATAATGAATTTGATAAAAAAGATTATTATTTTTATATTTTGTTTATTTTTTTTTTTGAATTTTAGACTCCAACAACAATTTATTCACATAGTAGGACCGGTTCAAGTCCAGCTATGATGCAAGCTTCGCCCCCCGGATCTCAAACATTACCAACGACAAGTTCTGTTCATAATACGAGTCCAAGCACGGGGGGCAGAGCATCCCGGACGCACACTTATCCGAAGATACCAGAAAAATTTAAGGTAAGGAGTGAGCAGCCACCGCCCACGGATGAGGAGGTAATATATTTTTGACGAAAAACGCTGAATTTTTTCAGTTCTCTCATCAAAGCAAAAGTTTAATTAAAAAAAGTAAATAATTTTAAAAAGATTTTTGAATCTAAATTACAAAAGAATTTATTCGATCAGTCTTAGCTCAGTTTAATATTTTTTAATGGTTTATAATAAGAAAGAATTATTTTAAATGTTGTTAGTTGAAGTGATTAGAAAAATCGAACTGGGCAGAAAAAACCTACTTTTTATATAGAAATCGTAGATCGAAATATTTTTACTTGAATAGCGGGAGTATTTTAAAGTAGACAAAAAAGAATTATTATAGAAAAATTAAAAAAATAATAATTATAAAAGTAAAAACAACTTCAAAAAATCTGTGATTTATCTACTCTATTTTTTATCGTTGCGATTTTATGAGAGTTGAAATAAAAAACAGGTTTAGAATCATTTTTAACAAAAAAAAATTAAACTTAATTTATATTTTTTAAAATTAGGTAAACGCTGTGGTCTTTTTAATAAAAAAAAATTATATACCTCTTACAAAAATTTTGGTTAATTTTAGAAGAATAACCCGTTGCCAAATTTTTTAAAGAAAGTAAAAAAACTTCTTGACTGAACTCAAATTTATTTTCATTTTAACTTCGTTTCACTTATTTTAAAAATAAATTCATTAATCAAAATTTCTTACATTCCAAAGTTTTATACACTAACAAAATTCTTATTTGTTTTTCTTTTTCACCCCATAATTAGTCTTAAAATGATTAATAGTGTTCAATAAAATCAAAATTCTAAGAGAGCCATAGAAAATTTATCAAATTTGCGGTTTCTAACATGATAAGTTCAAATTATCAAAATATTGAATGAAATTTGTTAGTACATTTTTATTACTGACAGAATGAACTAGGAAATCCAATCATACTCCCATTTCTGTTATAAAACTAAAAATTATAAATACAACTTCTTTATTTAGTCTCAAATATAAAAGTAATTTGCAGCCAAATCATAACTTTTTCGTTGTTTTTTTCTTAACCTAGCGGTTCCTTGAGGTTCACCTTTGAATTTGCCTCGTGGTCAAGAGTTAAGTGTCTACAAATATTTTGAATTCTGTCTAAATTTTCTTCTGATTTGATCCTTAACTGGTGATTCCCATTTCAGCGACACATTTATTGATCCAGGAACATACTACCCTGTAATTTAAAAATTCATATTAACAAATTATGATAGGCTTTGCTTAAAATTTGTTTAAATATAATCTTGATAACTTTTCATATCCCGCATCGTATCGTGAACAGCAATAATTATGTTTAAAATTGGCTACAAATAGTCAAATTAATCCGATATCGTTTCATTTCCGTGACCATAATTTTAAATAGCTGAGAAATCAAAATAAGCCGCAGGTTTAAGTCCAAATTCAAGGTTGTCGACAATTTAAGTATTTCTAGAATTTTTATTTTATTGAATATTAAAAAATTTTTATCTCATTTTTTTATCTTTTTATATTTAATCGTTTTCCTTTGATGGCAAAATAAATTTGAATTAAAAACTTCCTTTTTTCCTCTCTTTTATACTCAATCTCGATGACAATACCAATTTATCGTTAGGATATATATTTTCTCTCTCGTATAAGAAATAAATTATTAAAAAAAAAATTAAAGAAAAAAATCGTAGTAGTGGAAAATACAAGATTAAAAAAAACCTATATTAATATTAAATTATACATGAATATATAGTAGTTGCAGATGATCGCAGGATCTCAAAAAGAAAAAAAATAAGTAAAAAATATCTCTGGAAATTGATAGATAAATTTAAAAACTGTACAAAGAGAATTTCTGTTCTTTGTGGTAATTAACCTTATCTTCGTTTTAAAGAAACAAAAATAATATATAATAAAATGAAATGGTAATAATCGGAGAGTTTGAAATGAAATTAAAAAAATAAAATAAATAAATAAATACCGTTGTTAATTGTTAAGGTATGTTTAAAGGGAAAAGAAAAAAACAATAATTAAAAATAAAAAATAAGTTGAAAACAATGTGAGATGTATGTACTTTCCCTTAAAAATAATAATAAATAAGATACAGAAAGGGAGTATAGGCCTATTTATATTTATCTTTATCTCCTGTAGCGTGCGTTGAAAATAGTTTTTAAAAAATATTTTTATATTGAATGAAAATATAAAGAAAATCCTGTGAAATCGGAAAAATTATTATACTTTTCATAAATTATTATTTCGCTTAAAAAACTGTTTCAAAATTCGTTTCTCTGTTTTTGTATGGATTTGATTTTGTTATTAGATTTAAGAAGAGACAAAAAAGAAATAATAAAAAGAATGCAATCTTGCCTTTTCTAAGAGTATAACATAAAAGATAAGAAAAAGTGAAAAGTAATTATGCGAGGTTTTAAGAAATGTAAAAAAATCGGACGATTTCACGTTTTATCCATTTTACTACAACAAACGTGTAAATAGTTTTAAACTTACTTATTATGTATGTATTTATATCGCATTTATTTATTTATTCCACGTCATATTGCATTTTTTTCTGATTATTTACTTATTATTTATTAATTCTGATATAAACACGTTTTAAATGATATATTTTTAGCAGCTAATACATTCCTTATTAGAGGGTGTTTACTTGTTAAAATTTTTTTGTTCACTTTTGCTAATTAAACACAATCATCACATTTTTTCATAACAAATTCTTTTATGTGAAATGCGAAGTAAAACACCCTGTATATTTCTTTTATTATTATTAATCCATATCATTTTTAAACACATGTATCATTATAATATTATTAAAGAAAAAGATTAACCTTATTTTAAACATGTATTAAGGATGTTTCAATGTCATTTGAGTCTATTTTTTTAAGAAATTATTTTTTCGATTTTTTTTTTTATCTTTGGAATTACATAAAATTATTTTCGAAAAGAAATTGTAATTGAGAATATTAATTGTAAATAGCATTATTATATTTATTGTATATATTATATATATTTGACTAAAATGTATATGATCTTAATGTTGCAATTAAATTGTTTTATTTTTCATCCAACATAAGTTATAACTTGTACCCAATTTTAATATTAAATAAAACATTTCTTCAAATGTCATTAACGTGTTTTCTCACAGTAGAAGCTTTGACAGGAACCGGAAACGAAGGCAACTTCAGTTTAGCCCTTCAGAATAAAATAAGCGAAGTCAAAAAAAATTGTGACAATGTTGAAGTTAATGTTAGTTTTTCATTTAAATAGAATTGTTAAAATTGGTTGTTAAACTTTTTTGTATTTCGCGACGGTAATGAAAGCTATTACAGTTCTCAAACGGGTGCTGTAATGAGACCCTTTACAGCATCCGGTGCTGTAATAAGATTTTAGTAACATTTTATGGAACCAGTTCAAGTTGGTGACATTGGGTCATTAATTTTTCTAGTTGTCAATGTGACAATTTTTGTTTATGGATGTTTAAACACTTTCTTAGCATCGAATACAAGGTTCGCAATGATGAGGACTTTGAACTCTGAGCAATTTCTCTTAAGCGGCCCTTACACAATAAATAATATTGACAATACCTTAGACTATAAATATTGATAGAGTTTTGATAATAATCCGGATTTTCTGATTTTCGGGCATCAATAGTGAAAATTGGAGGGGATATTAACCGTGTAGGGTTGGCGCCAATATTTCCATCAATACTCAGTGCAATAAACTCAACATTCAAAATTAAATACTTTTATTTAATTGTAACAATAACAGAACGTGTCTATTAACAAACTGAAAAAACATGTTATTTTAACCCGGATGATTTGAAAACAGATTTAATTCCTATTTTCTACATTACACTCAGTTCAGTTCTAGCCGCGCGTCTGTGAAGAAGTGGTAAAAATGACCGACCCATTAACTGACGTTGTTGACGTTCAACACGATGGAGATACTGTTGGTTCATGTCTTATAGGACACATATAAAGGTTTCACAGGTTTCTATTACAGCTTTGCTGGTAATTGCTAAGGACATTATGACAGTAAACTTCAAGTCCTCAAAATTTCTTCCTGTGGCCAAGTACCTCAGGGTTAAGTCTAATCTTTCCCTAACACTTGTACTTTTTCTCATATTGCTATCCTGTCTTTTCAGTTTGTTAAAGGTACTTTCATCCATTTGAAAGTATGTCTTGAAATCATCAGAGCAGAGGCTGATTTCTTTCAACAGTAGTAGATAAGAATATTCATCTCTCTTCTTCAACCATTCTTTCATCCACTGTTTGTGTTTCACTCGATGAGTAGTTCCAAGCTCCAAAATAATAGCTACTCAAGCTTTTGTACGATTATCCATATTTGGAAAGGAATAACCGAGTAAAACTACGTAGATTCACTCTGTTCGTGGTAAAAAGGTAACTTATTGAGCAAACTTATTGACAATAATATTGATCGTGTAAAGGCCGCTTTATTTTGGGAGGTGTACATGAAAAAGTTTTTTCAGGTTTATACATTTTGTGTTTTAACAATTTCTAATTGTCAATTCAAATTTCTATTTTCAAGTGTTACAGTGTTACCAACTGCTACATACCTATTTCCCTACATTGTCAAAATTTATTTTATTTTTGTTAAGAAAAAAGGATAAAAACGCGAATTACAAAAAATAGCATAAAAAACACGTTTCGTAAGACTTAAAGCACTCATTCAAGTGCAATATACTGAATTACGCCCTAAAAACTATACTCTGTTTTTAAACCAGGAGGAGTATTTTAAATTTGTCACCAGATTGACCTTGCACGTGATTGGTTGAATGCGAGGAAGGTTCACACACAGGCAATTTTGAATTTTAATTTTGAATTTGAAGGTTAGGTAATTGATAATTCGACAGTTTCGTGTCATTATTGTATATTTTGTGTTCTTAAACCCTTTTTTATTATATTTTGAAATAAATACACTCATAACTTCAATGTTAATTTGTATGTATAGTGTTGACGATAACAAACGAAAATAAATACAATAATAAGTAAATAAATAAATAATAATAATTATTAATTTAAATTTACCGCCAAAATATCTAGTGATATTTTCTGGTGATTTTTCCTAGTGTAAATCTGACTTTCGCGTTTACTCCTCCTGGTTTAAAAACAGAGTATAGTCCATAAGTAGGCAAAAATCGCCCGACCGGACATAAAAGGTTTTATCTGTCATTAATAGCCGCATTTTATCCTAAAAGTAAATTACAGATATCATCTTAATAATCTTAGGTTTCGTTCATTGATGATGCTACTCATAACTTATACAAAATAGCTCTTCTACAAAATAGTGATCTGCGCAAGATCACTCAAGTAAATCGTAAATCAACAGAATACATCTCTCCTACACAAAGTGTTGAAAGCATTCCCATAATTCTTGTAGTGTATATTTATCCTTTGAGGTTGAATGAGAAATTTATTTGGCAATATATACTTTATTAAGAATTATCTAAATTATATTATTGTTACAATTAACTAATAGATAAGTATAAAAAAAAATTTAATAAACAATTTTTTCTACTAGTGTTTAAAATTGATTTTTTTTTCATTATTTTATAAACATCAAAATCAAAATTAAGTACTTTTCATTTATTTAGACACCATTCAAAAGCAAATATAAAAAAATATGTATAAAATTAAAGCGTTTTAATTTAATTACCCTTATTAGGTACACAAATCAAACTATTTTATTAAAAAAAATCACAATGACTAGGATTTTTTTCTAATATAAATAAAAAGAAACCCCTATCTCTTAATTATATTTTTTTACGAACATCTATTAATATCCCATATTTTATCAATAAATATCGACCCTACTCATCAGAATCGCTTACAGAATTCGAAAAAATCTTGTAAACGGTCACTATATGCGTCTCCTCATTATATCTACAAGCAACATTTAAATTTGAGATCTTAAAAATGTAATACTGCGTCCCAAGTCGGTCCTTTAAATAATTATTTCTCGGATCTTGGCACAAAACGGCCGTTATCATTGCTTTTTTTTCTTCAGCTTCGCTCCCTAATTGATTCAATTGAGCCAAAGCTCGTTCCTTAAATAAAACCCCAAAAGCACCAGGCTTTTTCACCCAAGCTGGAACTCTAACTAATTCCTCGTTAACTTGAGTTTGAATTTGAGTATTTAGTGTATTTCCACTAATTTGACCACTTGTTTGTATATTTTCTTCTTCTTCGCCATCCGGAGCTTCCCTTTCACCAATCCTTGCTGGAGTTAAAATTTGATTAGGTTCATTACATCGAGATCGAAATTCTTGCCCATCCATAACCCTATTATTCATACTATCATAACCAATTGCACCTTCAGTTTCATTTTCAACATTACTTGCTAAATTCCCACTAGTGGAAGCAACAACTTCTTGTCCTACCCTTAAATCATTATTTAAATTAAGACTTAGTGTGTTATTTGAAGTATTAGGGGGTTGCATGTTGCTCAATAATGAAGGATTATCGTATTGTGGGATGTAAGGTTTGATATCGAGTACTGGAGTTTGATCTACCATGTCAACACCGCGAAAATATATTGTGTTATCCATGATTCGATCAATTTTTACTAAAGATAAACCTATTGGAGATGGTCGATGAGGTGCTCTTGTTGCAAAAACACCAGTTCGTAAACCATTAAGTCTTGGTGGAGCTACTTTAGCTCTGATATGTGTTGAATCATTACGATGAAAATGAAATAAAATCCTAAAACATACAAATATTAATCTCATTAGTCATTATATTTAAGATAATTATAATTTGTTTATGTACCACATATGGGAATATTCCTCTAATCCTTCTAATGCATGTGAAGGATTTGTAAAAACATCATTATTCAATGTTAATTTAGCAATCATATCCCCACAAATCGGTGGTTGTCTCGGGGTGGCTCTTTTTTCAGGAAATTGTGTATTTATAATCCCGATATAGTTTAACCTCAAATCGTTATTTTCCACTTCTTGAGCCATTTCACCTTGATGTAACCTATTTCGACATTCCAAACATTTCCAATTTTGTAACGCCCCCCGTATCTCTTCGCATTCCTTTCTATGTGCATGAGTTAAAGTCTTTATTTGTTGCCTAAAGAAAAAAAAAACGACATAACCTAAAAAAATGACATCCCATTGATTCAAAGATTTACCTTAAGTTATTCAGCTCATTTCGAGTAACGTGCAGTTGATTTTTCAAGTATTCAACATCCTGAGGATGATTTTCATTCATTTTTACATGAAAAATATATAAAAACACTTCTTATTCTTCAACTTTTAACATTCGCAAAAAATAAAAATAATCAAGGAATACATTCGGAAAGATTCGAGTGTGATCGGGTTCGATGAAAAACGTTTCAAGATGACATCTAGCGGGAAATATTTTAGTAATTATCTTAAATTTCGATAAATCGAAAGAAATAATGCGAAAAATCGTTATTTCTTTCGAAAAATATAATGTTCTAAACATTCTTTCAAGATGTACTAAAAAACAATTTAATACAATTTAATTTACAAAATAAGGAAAATTCGGCGAGTCAATCGAAACCGTCCCGATATTTTAAATAAGTTTTTATAATTAATTCATTATTATTTGAACTTAAACAATTGTTATTTAAATATTTAACACATAAAAGACACTTTTCATTTTATAATCGTCAATTCGAAAAATTAAATGTTGAAATTATAATCAATCGCAACAACTAATTAGTCTATTTGGATTTGACATTTCGAAAATTTTTTAAATAAGTTTTTGAATAATCAAAAATCAAATTAAATACTTTAATTGTTCTTAATTTAAACTTTAAAATAAAAAAATGTAATAAATCAAAAGAAATGAGTTCGGTATGATTCGTTTAAGATCGGTTTCGATCGAAAGCTTTTCACGATTTGAAGCGCCGTCAAGCGAGAGCTTTCGCAATTTTCGCGAAAATCGCGATTCAGTACGTTTCCGTTCGCCGAATGAATGGGTTACGCGTTTCGCGTCCAAGAAGAGCGCTTGTTTACGATTTTTAGTAAAAATGTAAATAGAAATATCCACAAAAAATAACTTTAGTTTATCAAAATGTGAAAAACGTGTAAGGTGAATATATTTCAGTGTATGAAGTGTGTTGACGACAAGTTTGAGCATGTATTTTGGACCGATTTGTTTTTTTCGAAAATCGTTTTGTGTGAAAAGAAATGTGATCGATTTTTTATCCCAACGATGAAGTGTTCGACTTTTTGGCTGTTTTTGTTACTCTTCTTACAAAGTAAGTAAGAAAAATTAATTTGTAAAATATCCGCCATGTTTTATTATCAATTATTTAAAACCAAAGGTAATTTGATAAAGAATGTAAATGAGCTTTTTATAAGAAAAAAGGTTTTGACAGTTTAAAAATCGTAACGTTTCCTAGAAGAAACTCGAGCTTTTTTAAAGGAAACGTCATAGAAAAACTGAGACGAGCTTACTCGCTTACTAATTAGTGAATTTTAATTAAACGAGCTTCAACTTTTTATCAGTTTCTTTTTTCATTTTATTTTTATGGTTTCAATTTTCATTCATTTCTTACAATTACTTTTTGCCTCTATTAAAAGAAACTGAAATAATTTCCATAATTATTTTATTCTCTATCTCATCTATATCTCTATGCAAAATAATATGTAAGGGTCGTTACTCAAAATACATTTGACACTTATTTGACATGTTCCATTTCTGATATATGTATGTATAGGGCTATGGATTTCTTTGGAAATCATTTAACAAATATTGAAAGGTACGTAACAATCTAATTTTAAGTTAAGCTGTTTCTTATATATTATTACCCAGATTTTTTAACCAAAACAACAGGGTAAGTTTCAAGACTAATAGGAACGGCTATATGAAACAATTACAGCTTTGTATGTATGGGTTTAGCCGTACGTCTATTAAGACGGCTAAAGCCATACATACAAAGTTAAAACTGAGTTCAATAAAAATATATAATAATCTAACGCTGAATAACAACTTAAACTAGATTTAACATCAGCACTACAACTAACGCTAGACCTAGAACTAGAAATATTCGGGTTTAGCCGCACGTCTTTCAGGACAGCTAAACCCGAATGATTCTGGTTCTAGGACTAATTCTAGTTCTGGGTCTAGTTCTACTTCTAGATCTAGAATAGAAACATTCGGGATTATATTATTATTGAACTAAAACTAGAACTAACACTAGATCTAGAACTAGAAACTTTGGGGTTTAGCAGACACATTAGTCGTATATATTTAATCACATTTAGTTGTATGTATTAACTATTCTTTAGTTTAGTGTAAAATGTCAGTACAACTTATATACTTGAACAGTAATTAATTAAATGGCATCGCGTGATTCTGTGACACTTATGCAGTTAGCATACATTGAATAATATCTGTCTGTAGCAGTCTACGAAACACGCGCTCTTTACTTATAATTAATTCCTATTAAATTCATATTATTATTTACCATTACATAGCAAGCTCTTTATTAATTCTGACCGTACTTTTTGTTCCATCTGTGCTTATTCCAACCAGGGTTGCCAGGTTTAAATCACTATTTTTAATCTCCTTGCTCATGACTGTCAATTTCCAAATATCACGGAACATGTTCTTGTAATCGTTAAGTATTTTCAAAATAACTTAAAAAAGAACTCTGGGATGTTACACAAGACGAAACCATTGGAAAACAAATTATCGATTGGTATAACATGGCATTAGGACCAGCTCATTTTCTTGCATATATGCTTCATCCAAAGCAAATTAATACACTTACTCACTGAAGACGAGAAAAAAATCGAATTGGGTTATGCAAGTTCGAAATATACATCAACTTTTCTTCTGTCATTGATAATTAACTATCAAACCAAAGCTTCTCTATTCATGGAGCAATTTTTCAACGAATCTGTGGTGACTCAAGCATCTGCATATGAATGGTGGTAAATCCAAAAGCAAGTGATCGTTAATGCCGACGTTTTTCCTATTATTGAGCAACTGCTCACTGCTTAATCGTCATCCGCGAGTGTAGAAAGAATTTTTTCTTCATTTGGTTTAATGTATTCGAAACTTAGCAACAAATTGGGAACCGAAAAAGCATCTAATCTGGCTTTTATTACTTAATATTTTATTTGTTATACAAACGCCAAGTTTCGAAAGTTTGTTGCGCTCTTTATTCCATCATTATTTCAGCCATAATCTTTGTTGTAGACAAAATAAATTTTTAATTTACTCAATCTTAATTTAGTTGATATTATTGAAGAAGAACAAAGCGCTTTATAATTACTAACTAATTGTAAGAATTAATGTTCAAAGCGTAGACTTGAACATGTGCAACATTATTTAAAGCAAGATTGACGTATCTTGTCTCTACTGGTTAATATATCGAGTGCTTGTAACAAGGGACTCAAACCCGACAAGTTTCGGAAACTTTGAAATCCTTGTTTCTCACCCATTCTATACTTATCGCAACAGAGTTTAACGATCCTTCTTTGATTTATTCGAGTCACAGTAACTTCTTAGAATTTTATTGAATTTTTTGTATCAATTTGATTTTCATTTTATCATATTATTTTATAATAAGAGGGAAAAAACCATTGTAAAATATTAACGTTTCAATATGTTACTGTTGATTTTTTTAACAATAACCCCAACCCGTTTCAGTTATTTATTCACTAGTTTGAATTAAAATTAAATATCGAAAGTCATCGAACTGGCGTTTTATCGGATTTGCCATACTGTTTTTATTATTCCAGCAGGTTAGTTATTTCATTTAAAATTATAAACGAACCTTTTGTTTCATGTATATTTTTTAACTATATCGCTGAACAATTTATTTCACAACTTATTTATTTTTTTTTTTTTAATTTTTTAGCGACAATTCTCAAAAGAAACTTTTTTTGGTTGTAAGAATTACAATAAAATCTCGATATAACAGAATCCAACTCAGGTTATTCCCCAAATTGCTCTATTCCATGTTCATAGATAAAGTCGGGGTATTCCCCGAGTTGTCTGAAGAAGCACGGCTAAATCCGAAACTTTCAAGTTCTAGGTCTAGTGTTAGTTCTAAGTTTAGTTGTGATATAGCGTTAGATTTTTGTATATTCTTATTAAACTAAAACTGGAACTAACACTAGACCTAGAACTAACACTAGATCTAGAATTAGAAGCATTCGGGGTAGCCGTGCGTCTTTTAAGACGGCTAAACCCGAATGCTTCTAGTTCTAAGTCTAGTGTTAGTTCTAGTAGTAGTGTTAGTTCTAGTTTTAATTGTTATTAAGTACGTAGTAAGAATTGAGAAAATGACTTTATTAAGATAAGCAGCCACAATAAACGTTAACAAATTTGTAAATAAAAAGTTATGTACACAATTTACAAGTCGATAAAACTAAGTTTCGAAAACTAATCGAAGGACATTGTTGTCGTTAAACTGTTTGGGATCAGGTCCCTTATACCTTATGTGGTGGGAAGGAACCACCCCTAGACTATAATTTCCCGAGTTTCGGACTTGCAACTAGGTAGAAGGTGCCATACGGATTCTACTTTTCCGATACTTTACGTACATACACTCTCCTCGCAACCCCTTCTGTTATACCTTTCGAGTTTCGAGTTCAAACCCGTCGTATTCACGGAGTCTTAGTAGAGGGCGGCGGTGCCCCGCAGCGAAACTGCGGAAGTCCGTCGTAATTGGCTGCGGAGAAATTTCTGAGCGGCGGTAATAAGATGTTACTAAATTGTTAAGTTGGTCTATTATTGAGGTTGTGGTGGTCGAGGTTTTGAGGAAATGCTTTGCTGCTGCGACGGTATCTACTTTAGCACTCAACGAGTTAGTAATTGAAATGTTCCGAGGCGATTTTTCAAGCACCAACACCACTAACTAAACGCAGAGAAAATTATTAGCGAAAGCGTTTTCCCTCTTTCTAGCTCATAATCTTACGGTATATCATTTAATTAAAAACAAGATTTTGTTTGTGGTTCTTTCTAATGGGATTTCTTAACTATTTTAAAACTACTTCATTTTGAAAATGAGACTTTATGTAACATTAAAAACTTCTTTGGTTTAATAACCTAACCATATTAATAAATTTTCATCAAATTCAACAGTACTGTAGTAAATTGACCTCGTTAGGATGGACTTCGGATATAACGGACTAATGCGTGACGTCACGAACGGGCCTTCGAGCTATACACCTGTTCTCGAGATATAGCAGTCTTCAGATTCTACCGTCCTTGATATAAATATAAAGCCGAATATAAAGTCCGAACTTTTGCATTAAAATTATTCATTCAAACAGTTTTGGCTATAACAAGACCCTTCGCCGTATATATATTGTTATTAAATTGTGCTTTTTTTCTTTCTAATGATACGAAAAGTTCTTTTTTTTGATTATATTATCATTTTTATTTCTTTCAATTGACTGCTTTGGTGAAAGGGTGCTGTTAGAAACTCGGATGGTTGTTTTGGTCATTACAAAAATGTTTTTTTCATATAATCTGAGTTAATGGGCGCCAAAAGCGAGGTTATTCGTGAGTTTTTAAGCTCGCTCGCTTCGCTAAATAGTATCTCCCATTGTACAAGGGCGCATAAAGTGGCATTAAAAGTTAAAATTTTCTCCGTTAGGCGATGCACCACTAAAAATCCGCGCGGAAACGTTGCCCAGTTTTTCTCGCGCGAGTTTCTTGCGATTAATACTCGCCCGGACGCGATTCTTCTTCCGGCAGACGCGGCAAGTTTTCACATAAACAAGTCGCTCGGCTAATGTACGGCTCGCGTGTGCGCCAAAACTTCCAGACCTTCACCCTCAACTCCTCCCCGCTCACCCATCACCTAATCCAAAAAGCAAATACACCCAAATCCTTTACGATTTTAAACATTTTTGGAATCATAAATAAAATTGGATTTTTGTGAAAGCTTTTTTTTTTGGAAATCGTTATTGGGGGTTTCGTTGTTGATTTGTTCATTTTTTTTTCAACCCTCTAACGAAATGATCGTCATGATAAAAGGCGTTCCGTTGTTGCATTGTAACTAGTAATGTATTCCGAGGAGATTGTACTACGTCCCATTCGGGTGATTAATCTTTTTTTTACGCTTTGTTTTCGATTTTAACTCTGGAAATGTTCGCACGGCAAACGCTGAAATACGATCGTGTATGCAAATCCTCCCTTGTTTAGATACACCCTTTCATGTTTAGACATCAAATCAAAATTTAACAAAAAAATATTTTGTTTCAATACGATCCTAGCCAAACAAATTCAACAAAT